TGAAGGTTCAGGGTTGGAGTGCGGGATGAGAGAGAGGAAAAAAGAATGCAAAGACAGAACTGAGGGTATACAGAGGGTAGAGACGCTAGCTTTTCTCTCATTACATGTTAAGTGATTACTTTTTCACAAACATATACTGACATACATCCAATTATAAGTTGACTTATAAAAGAGGGTCAGCACTTTGTTTTCCATTTAGATGCGCTGGCTTAAATCTGTCCTTTGTATCCAGTCTGAAGCCACATTTTTAGTCTATACTTACTATTTTTTGACTAGTTTTATCTTTCCTGGTTGCAGAATCCTGCCCCAAGAGGAGGACTGCTGGGAGCTTAACTCGGCTTGTTTTCAAGCATTTAGGGCGATCCATGGCTGTGTGCGCGGACTGTAAACTTCAGTACCCAATTAAGGGAGGATATCCAACCCTTGAAGTCGGTTTTTTGACAAAAAGAACAGCTGATTTGCACGGGCAAAGCACATTTCTTACATGACGTACTCAAGTCAGGTCGTCCAGGTGGCTCAGTCAGCGACCTGCCTGTCTTGAAGCTGGTCTTTGCTTCCCCAACCAACCTGCACTGCCTGGCTTTCACACACAAACACACCGGCCTCTTGCTGGAAAAACAATGGAAGGGAAATGACTGAAGAGCATCATTTTAACAAACACTGTAACCCCAGAATTGTATCCACAGATTACATTCACAGTGACAACTATCAAACCAGAAGCAGAAGACGTGACTGTATGAGGTACATTGGTTTGATTCCGGGGGCTGCACGGTGGTTAGCGCTGTCGCCCCAGAGGAGGTGGTTCGAGGAGGTTCCTGGTTTCAATCCCCGTTGGACAGCACGTTCTCTCAGTGCATGTGTGGGTTTTCTCCAGTTTTCTCCCACAGTCCAAGGACATGCTGGTTAAGTTAATCGTAGACTCTAAAAATTGGACTGTACTGGTGAACAGTCCAGGGTTTAACCCCGCCTCTCGCCCAATGACAGCTGCGATCGTATCCAGCACCCAGCGACCCCCGAACGGACAAAAGTGGTATAGATAATGGATGGATTGATGGTTTGATTCCCACTTGTGCTAGGAAGAACATCAGTGAAGTTGCCTAGAAAGGGCGTCCCATTAGCCCATTGCCCGTTGGTTCTGGTCCAACCAGTGCCAGAACATCTGTAAAAATGCCAATTCAAGTACCAAAATCGACACTAATATCTGGTGGAGTGACTTTTTTCGAAACATTCATGTTCTGCAAATATCATCACTATGAAACTCTTTATAACACATCGCTCTCTTCCAGTTCTTCAGCTACAGCAGCAGTCGATCATTTCCACAGCTTCCAGGATCATTTCATACAGTATCTCCTCAGGCTATCATTTGCAGCTTTCAGCATTTTCTGCCATGAAGTGCACCTTTTTTGCAATCTGATTTCCCCCCCCCCCCCCCCCCCCAACCCAGAGGGGCTGCCACATTACAAAGATCCAGGAGGCATCATTTCAGCTGTGGTGTTATTGTGCTCAGGTTCCGAGGGCACAGTCGGGTTATCAGTAACATAGAGAGTGTGACACCATCCACCCTGACTCACGCGCGATACTGTATCCGCCGAAGGAGGTGGTGCGAGTGCCGATACCCTCTCTGAGAAACCAAAGAGCATCAGGAGGGAAGGGGCGAGCGATAGCGGAGGAGAGTGAGCCGCAGGAATCAAACATGCTGTGATGAGAGAGAGCTCACTGCTTTTACTATTTTATTTTATTTTTTTACTGTCTTTTTCTTCTTTTGTGTGTTTGAGAGGGAAAACCTGAGTGGGTAACACACTGAGGGGTTAGGTTTCTTCCACAGCTCTTTTAATTATGACATGCAGGAGGGGAGATCCGTTTGTTAAGAACGTGCCGTTTGTAGGAGAAAAAAAGGAAAAAAAAACAGTGCAGTGAAGCTTCCAGCAGAGACTCGGGTTGCAGGGAGGAAGAGGAAAAAAAACAACAGTAAGCAGTAGAGAGAATAATATACGAGAGACAGAGAAAGGATGAGGGACTATTTATACACTCCCAAAGACAATCTTTGGATTTAGTTCTGGAAAATGAAATACAGACAAAAGAGGCAAAAAAAAAGAAAAAAAAAGCAGAAGAGACGAAGAAGATGATAACTGAAGCTGCCAGAGAGAGAGTAAAGAGAGGAAGAGAAAGTGAAGGGGGGGAGGAATACATTTACCTTGACTGACACTGCGACAGGGAGAAAAAGCAGAATCCCCCACTCCAAGAAAATTGTAGCTCCATAACATCATGCGACACAATCTCTGCAGTGCTGTGTGGGGGGGCAGCACATGAACGCATACAGCAGCAATCAAATGATTTAAAAGTTATTATGTGAGCAGCCATTTTTTTTTTTTAAAAGTGGTGATGAGTTATGATTTTGTGGCAGGTGTTCAAACGTACTTTTTAAGGGGATTCTGCACAAACTGACAGCAGATACAGTTCAAAAGAAAACGAAGGGAAATTAAGACATCAATAGGATGCATAAGATAAGTATTGATGGATTGACATTTGCAGGGAGTGAGAGGGATCGATGACACCTCAAAGACCTGCACATGTGGTAATTTCCAGAACAGAACCCCCCCCCCTTGCCTTATTGACATCAGCGCTGTCAATATGCTGCAGTGCAAAAGAGATCAATCTTTATGAGAGCTGGTTTCAGTGTGACTTTAGGAGTCAGACTTCCAAAGTTGTAGACCGGAAAACAGATTAAAATTCAGCAAACCTGATATTATGAGCTCTGCAGTGTTTGGTGTTTGCAGCAGCTTTTACTCCCAGCAGTCATTCCTTTGGATGTTTTTTTTTTGGGGGGGGGAATAATCTCAGATTTGTTTTAACCCCCCTTGCTGTAATCGTGCTCATACATTGCCATGGATTACATCGTCAGTTACAGTATAGCCTATAACAAATGCATCATGAATGTAAAGTGCCTGTTGGCAGGAGCTGCTGCTTCCTCAGTTTTAGTCCAACACTGCCCACTAGTGGTGGAAATAAAGGAATGCAGCACAGCCAATGTTTCTGTCTGCATTGAAAATGTGGAAAAAGATGTGCAAACCTCATCATGTGGGTCTTTTACCTGCTATACCTGATTGAGGTTGCCTTTAGTTAAAATGGAACATGCTAGCTGCGTGATGTTTCTGACTCTGCATCATTGACCGTCTGATGAGTGGAAGGAGCTAGTGAAAAAAAACCAAGATAGACTAGGTAGTCTGTGGTGTTAGTTATCTTTCCAACACTATAGGTGATCAAAACACAAAACATAAAACCAATAGATGTTTTTAATGAAGTAGACATATGCGAGGAAACTTTGAGAACTACAAAGCTAGCAGCTAATGCTACCGAAATGTCCAGACTGATTAACAAATGGTCTTTTCTAACCTACAAGTATACATTTAGAGACGTGTACAAGATGATATGTATCTTGTCGAATTAGCGAGATTCAGACACAGTTTTTTGTTGTCGAAAAGTTTTGAAAAACTACTTCAGGAACATGAATGGGGACTACCCATAACCCGTGTTATGGAGTAAAGAGTGACCGTGTTATCTGGTGACTTCCGGCCGAAGAGGACTGATGGAAATTGCTGTCTTTTTTGTTAAAACGTTGTGCATTCGGTGTTAGGTACACAAATTACACTTAGAAAATCACATATATGACTATGTGGGATGTTTTGTTTTTAAATTTAAAAGATCTTTGGAAGGCAATGCTGTTAATAAAATAGCTGACGGTGTTATGCAGAGAAATGCATCCCCTCCAACAATTGCATGCACCTTGTGGAAGTGTTTCAAAAAGATAAAAATCGTATTTCTTGGGCAGATTAGTGATGACAAAGTATCAGAAGTTCTTACGTAATGAACGTGAAGTGTTCTTATTGTTCTGCAGACTATAGAAGACGCATTTTGATTAGCCTGCTTTAAATATGACTTGCTAACAGTGTTTGACTATCGTGTCTGTAGAGAAAATTTAAGGGTGGATGCAAAATCACGGCATCATAGTATTTTAAGGTTGAGTGCAAAAACTTGGCAGTGTAGGTATTGTGTCTGCCATATTTCGAATTGTCTTGCAAGGTGCACGTGCTTTTTTTTTTGGAGGGATGCATTTCTCTGCATAACACCTCTACAGTAGCCTGGCAGCATGAGAGGTGTGATGTCTGAGCTGGCATGTCTTTTTCTGCAAAGTTTTTGTGTGAATCTCTGTTTGCTCTGTCCACACAGCATCATTGTGTGACAGTACAGAGAGGTTTTAAATTTAACGTTGATGTGCACTGTGGTCATTTCCCTTACCGCTTTGGTTATAAGTGAACATTTAAATAATGTACGCTAAGGAAAAATGTCTTATTTAAAAATCCTTAAACATGGGAAACACATGTATTTTTATCTTACTATCTAACTTGTTTGCTATTTTGTCTTGAAGTGTAAATAACATTGTGTTCATTTTCTCATCGTTTCTTGTGTCATCGTGTGGGACTGTGGAGGAAAGATGAATTGAGCGTAACTGGTCGTAACTCGGCTCAGTGCTAGCCAGTGAGATTTGGGTTGTTAATTTGCTAACGTCAGGGATTTTTATGTTGCTAGAATTGTATTTTCTCAAGCCTTATATCTCCCTACCATGGCACATTAAGTTTACCTTTAAAATGGATTCATGTTCTCGACATTATAATCACCCATCTGCAGCATGAAGCCCACTGATGTTGTTTAAAATCTCCTTAAAGATACATACTGAAAATCTGCATGTTTCCTAATTTAATGAAATTTAAATAAAGATTAGGGCCTGACTGATATGGTATTTTTGAGGCCGATATCGATATTGGAGAGAGAAGAAAAATCAGCATAACGAAGACAAAAGTGAATCATCCTCACTCCGGGGAAACCTTTTGAACAGCCGCTCCCCCCCCCCCCCGATTGTGACGACACAGTGAGAGCATGTGCAGAGATCCGGGTGTGTCAACACTCCGAGTGGGAGGGGCTCACTTTGAGTTTCAGGAAGAGCTTGAGCACCTGTGAGAGTGTGGTGATTCATTACAAAGTACACACAAAGTGAAGGACTACAGCGCTCCACGTCAGACGCAAACATGCAGAGTAAGTTCTGCTTTCACGTTTTCATTCTTAATGATGTTCTCTTGTTTTTTTAGAGGAAGTTATGTGTGTGTGTGACACATGTTTGTGAATCTTTCGTTTCTCGAGTAGAGTTTTTCTGGGAAGTTTGTCCTTAATGTAAATCAGTGAAACAACAAAACAGAAGCTTCAAAGTGTAGCTTAGGATGTGTAAGAAGCTCTTTTAGTGTCACAGATCAAAGAAAACTTATACCTGAGCAGGTATGTTTGTTTGAATAGAGAAACTAAAGACAGTTTTTGATTAGCTTCTCTGTATTTTTTGCAAATATATTGTCTTTAAAAACTCATCGATGGTATTTAAATGTTAAATGTTTGATCAAAAATGAGTGACTTCTTTCTCAAATCTAGTCCATCGACATTAAGACAAAAAAACAAACGATTGAAGCCAGTCATGAAGGAATGCAGACACTTGTGTTCGCACACAGAGGAGGGAGTTGTTGCGTGTGTTTTCTTTCAAAGCTGACGCAGGTGTGTTATGTAAAGGTAGAAGGTCCAGAGTTTCTACATTCCTCACTTGCTCTTCGACACACATTTCCTTCTCATGTGGGGTAAAAAAAAAAGGGCTTTGTGTCCTCTGGTGCAGAGTAACGATCATCTGACGTGAAAAAAAAAAGAGAAAAGAAGTTGTTTTCAGTTTTGTGATTGTTCTAATCTGTGTTCAAACTTATATGTCACTACTTTAAGTCTAGTTTTAAAGGTGCACTATGTAGTTTGGTGGTGAAATTTGAAAGTTGAAGAAGTGTAACAATTCTATTTATTTTCTGAATTTAATACACAAACTTTACTCAAAGATGAAAACGGGTCCCTGTTACACTGTTTGGCGTTAAAAAGCTACCAGGAGAGTTACGGTTTCACTGTTGCGGGCCCCCCTCCCCACCATAACTTCTCACGTAGCATTTTGTCTTCAAACAGTGTTACAGGGACCGAATTTCCTCTGAGGACAGTTTTTGTATATTTAGAAACTACATTTCTCCAACTTTCACATTTCTCTACCAAAACTACATAGTGCACCTTTAAATAATGAGCCGTGGTCACCATATTGTGCCTTAAATAAGAAAACTATAACAGACAAAGTGGAGGAAATTATTGGAAAAAAAGGGAAAATCAGAATTGGCTTTATTGGCCTGGTACGCGTACACACACAAGGATCTTGACTTTGGTGAAATGAGCCTCTATGTACAGTACGGATAACAGTAAATATCAACAAAGTACGAGAGAGTGCAGTAACGCAAAAAATAAAAATCTTAGTTTCATCTCTGTGACTCTCTTTAAGTCAAGTAGAGCTGATTAAAGCCGTGCACACGCCGACCTCAGACTACACTGAAGGTAACTCAGACACAACTTCCTCCTGACCCGCGACCTCTAAGTTATATAATCTTTAAAAGTAATTCGCTCTACTAATGCAGCGCTGCGGGTATGACACACTTTGAGGGATCAAATATATGTGTCATCTAAGCATCCTCTCTGGGTGTGTTATTGGGTGTGTGTTGATTTTCAAGTGACAGCATGACACTGATTTTTGTCAGGTCAAAAGATTTCCATAATTAGCGCTGAACATCGAGTGAAGTCAGCAGACATGTAAACAAGTAGATTTTCATTCCTTTTTAATAATAATAATAATAATACATGTTATTTAAAGGCGCCTTTCAAAACTCTCAAGGTCACCTTACAGAGCAGAGATAAAAACAACAAAGTAACAAACAACGATAAAATTAACATTAAAAACACAAAACATAAATGTACAGGATGTAGAGGAGTTATGAGACCGGAAGGGGAATGATCAGACTGAATATGCCAGTTTAAAAAGATGTGTTCTGAGATGAGATTTGGAAATGGAGAGAGAGTCGATATTACGGATTTGTGGCGGGAGGGAGTTCCAGAGGTGGGGGGCAGAGCGGCTGAAGGCCCTGGACCCCCCATGGTGGACGGGCGTCCCCATGGTTTTAAGACGTTTATTTAAAAAAAAAATGTATTTGCAAGCATCAGTGTGAAACTGCTGCCCTGAAATCCAACTGTGTGATAAGACTCTCTGGTGAAATACTTGTATATTACCCCCTGCTTCAAATCAGTTTCCCACGGTTGGGCCAACCCTGTTTAAATAAATCTGGACGCGCCCCTCTTTTCAGGTAGTTTCACTGTAATTCACAGGTTAGTTAAAAAAACTCACTGGTGACTTTCAGATGTGAACGACCCTTTTTGAATGGGATGAAACATGTCAGAGGTCAAACGGATCCAGCTGTTATCTAGATATACGTTTTTCTACATATGGAGTAGGCCCCTAACAGCAACCATTGGTGGTAAAAAATGAAGCCAATGTGGAAGTGCAAATCGCAGAACCCTGGAAGTCACATCCAAAAATGTTTGTTTACAGCCTGGTTCAAAAATCCTTATTGGTCTGACTAGTTAATGTCAACATGGGCACTTTTCTTACCAATAAGTTGGCACCATTTATTGTGAAGGTAGCTGAAAGGTACTAGCTTAATCTGACTGCATCACAATGTTGTGAGAGTAACCATGACAACAACGATGACATAGTGATTAATAGAGGAGCACTTTGACTATTTAGAAACCTCCTGAAAAATGTATGAATCTTGCTCCCAGGCATCAGCTCTCCAGGAGCCAGCCTCCTCTCCGAGGAGCAGTTCTGCTGCTCCATCTGTCTGGAGGTGTTTGTGGAGCCCGTCTCCACGCCCTGCGGCCACAGCTTCTGCAAGGCCTGCCTGCAGGGCTACTGGAACCACAGCAAGAAGTTCCTGTGCCCCATGTGCAAGAAGAGCTACACCAAGAGGCCCGAGATGAGCGTCAACAGGGTGCTGGCCGAGATCTCCACCCAGTTCCAGGGGCTGATGACGGACGGGGGAGCCGGGGTCGCGGGGGGAGCCGGGGCCTCCTCGAGGGCGTCCACGTTGAATCTGAGCTCCAACTCGGGCCAGGGGAAGGACACCGGGGAGTTTGCACAGGCCGGGGAGGTCCCCTGTGACGCCTGCATCGGGAGGAAGTTGAAGGCGCACAAGTCGTGTGTGAACTGTCCGGGCTCATTCTGCGAGACTCATCTCAGACATCACAAAAAGGTCAGCTTACTTTTTTATTTACTGCTAATAACCAGATTTCCATTTTGTTGTTATTGTTTTAGTCCCTTACATTTTCCCCGCCAAAAATCCAGAGGAACCTATAAGACAAGAGAATATGTCAACTCAGGATTCCTGCTAACTCGTCACTCTTCATTATCCCTTTAAAGTCTTTATATGTGATTTTTCACACTTAAATAAAACAGAAATCAAGTATATCCTCTGAAAATAACTCTGTGAGTCATGACTGTCTACAATGGGTGTAACACCCGAGTCCCACTGTCTGTGATGTTTTCAGAGTTTTCAGAGTCCTATCTTCAGTTTGTTTACATCGCCAGGACGGCCGGCTGACTCCTCCCCTCGTGTATAAAAGTTGTTTAATTGAGGGACTAGAGAAAAGAAGAATAACATACTGTACTCACTGCTTAACTGTGTTTCTAGATCACGCTCATTTCAGGTAAATTTACATGCAGTGTGAAGATACCAGCATAATAAAGATCGCTAGCATTAGCATGCTAACACAACAATGCACCGCGAGTTGTTTTGATTTCATGCCGGTGCTCAAGGGCGACATCTGCTGGATGAAAAAAATCGCATATAAAGCCTTTAACCTCTGACTCCATTTTAATTTCTCTCCATCTGTTAGTAAAATATTTGCTGAACAAGCAAAATTTTCCCGACTTAACATCCATAAAAGCTTCCAGTTCAAACATCCAGCTCACTTTGCAGATTCACTGGATGTACTAAAGACTTAACGGGACCACAGTCCCACCGTGTGTTACTCTCACATCTGCCCATTCAAAACCGCTGCTCTCTCTCTCTCTCTCTCTCTCTCTCCCCGTCCTCGCACTTCACCCCTCCAGGTGAAGTCTCTGACCTCCCACCGCCTGATCGAACCCACTTTCCACCTGGAGGAGAAGATCTGCAAGAAGCACGAGCGCCTCCTGGAGGTCTACTGCCGCACCGACCACGCCTGCGTCTGCACCGCCTGCGCCGAGGCCACGCACAAGTCGCACGACATCGTCCCCGCGGAGCACGAGTGGAAGAAGAAGATGGTGAGAACGCGTCTCAGGACGTGCATGCTGCCATGACGGCATTATTTTTTTTTTTTGATTGATTGATTGACTCAAAGTCCGGCTTCTCTTCCTGCAGAGTAATCTGGGAAAGAAGAGGTCGGAGTTGAAACACCTGATCAAGGAGAGAGCCAAGAAACTGGAGGAGATTAAACAATCCATCAAGGTGATCAAGGTGAGTGCGAGGACGCCTCGTCGGAGACAGGAAGTGAACTCTGACCTGTCGGTTATTGTGCTTCAGTAGACACAAGGTAAAGCGGGTTAGAAAGCACAGCGGGTTTGTAAGGTTTGGTGTCAGTTTTCAGCTCTGAGCAACAAAAACAAACACATTAGTGGTTAGTGCGCACGTCCACCAAGCGGGCGGCCAGCCAGGGTTAAATTACAACAGATGTGGACGTACCTGTTTGACCAATAACATAAGAACGAGTCGCCTGGTTATGGAGTATGAAATGTTAAAAAAAGAACCCGTTCATCATATGTTTTAAAGTCCTGATCCGGCGCTCTGTGTACTGCAGGGTAAATGTCTGCCGGCTTGTCTCTGATGTAGCAGCCGTCTTCATGCGCCGCAGACTCAAACGCTTTATTTGCACTTCAAGCGGCGTTCGGTGTAACTGCGTATAAACACGGCGGCCACTTTGACAGGAGACTCTGCGGTTACACACGCCCGTCGTTCAGGCCTTTGTCATCCCTCTCGCGCTCTGTGGCCTCATGCTAATGCTTCTCTTGTACGTTTACAGACATGAAAGCACGTCTAAGGCCGTCCAACCGGTGTGACCAGTGTTTAGAGTATTTACCTTTCTTTTCCCACACCCTGTTTTTAACTCTCAGCCTCATTACAGTCAAATGTTCCCCAAAGAAAGAAAAGGAAAACAAATGTCTGATCCCCTAACCGCCCACCAGAGTCTCCATCAGTTTATTTTAGTCCATGATCGTGATTCAGTAGTGCACATAAACAGATCATTATGTCCAATACATATAAGTCAACAACCTGACACAATGACACGGTCAATAAAACAATATGCCTCCAAACACACACCTCAATCCTAACTACCTGGAGCCATGGCTTTATGCACCAGGATTCCACCTAGTGTTTAGTGTCGGTTTTACGCTCAAATAAGAATTCACAGTGTTGGTGTTGGGTTTCATGCACAAGTCAAATAAAACGAGCATTTTGGCTGTAGCAGGAATTCTAATGTTAAGTTGCTCTGTTATGTATATTACAGGGGTTTAACTCTGGTTTTAAAATGACTGGATTTAATTTTATTTTTTTTAAGGTTTTGAATGTTTTTTCCGAAAGAATCCAAAAACTTTTCACCCTTCAGAAATGCTTTTTCACAAAGTTTCCAAAGTTCACAGCTGCTTCAGGTTTCCTGCTCAGTGACATTTGTATCTGCTTTCCTAAACACATCACGTATTCAGTAACCTGAGGTTTAAATAACTGTGTGTGTGTGTGTGTGTGTGTGTGTGTGTGTGTGTGTGTGTGTGTGTGTGTGTGTGTGTGTGTGTGTGTGTGTGTGTGTGTGTGTGTGTGTGTGTGTGTGTGTGTGTGTGTGTGTGTGTGTGTGTGTGTGTGTGTGTGTGTGTGTGTGTGTGTGTGTGTGTGTGTGTGTGTACAAACACAAGACAATGAGTCAGTGTTGTTCCTCAGACGTTGGAAAGCACCGTCATACCTTTTGTTACTCACAAATTCCTCCCTCTTTTTTATTTTTTTAAATATTGTTTTTGCAGGCCAGCTCTCAGAGGGAGTTGGAGGACAGCTGGCAGGTGTACGCCGAGCTGCAGCGCGCTGTGGAGCAGAGTCAGGCGGAGCTGGTGGAGCTGATCGCCACGAGGCAGCGGGACGCAGAGCGCCACGCGCAGGAATTAGCCCGGGGCCTGGAGAACGAGCTGAGCCAGCTGAGGAGGAGGAGCAACGAGCTGGAGGCCTTCGCTCAGATGCAGGACAAAGTGGTCTTCCTGCAGGTAGGACTTTTTTTTCCTTTTTTTTTTTAAAGGTCACATATTCTCCTCCTCTTCAACAAGTTTAAATAAGTCTCAAAGCTCCTCAAAACATGCGTGTGAAGTTTCTTGTTCTAAATCCACTCTTTTATTTCAGCCCTGCTCAGAACAGGCTGTTTCTGTGTCTGTACCTTTAAATATGTAAATGAGATGTGTCTGACCACGCCCCCTCTCTGGAAGGGCTCTGGCTTTTTCACTCCATGTCCTATTGTTTACGATGAGAAGGCAGACTTAGAGGGCAGAACAAACACCTAGCTGTGGGAGTGTCACCCACATGGGGGAGGGGTTACTGCCCTTTGTGATGTCATCAAGGGAAAATCTCAAACGGCCTGTTTGAGCACACATTTTCTGAAAAGTGGAGCAGGGAAAAGACGGAGACGATGGACTTTTCTCATCATTGGGGGTTTGTAGACAGACTAGGGACACATATTAGTGTTAGAAAAACATGGCAAAGTGTATTTTGCATAACATGTGACCTTTGAAGGTTTCATCAAAAACGTGGAATCAATAATTATTGAAGCATCGAAAAAATTGGACAATTTTAACTTGTTACCAGAGCGACAGATTGATCCTCTTTTTTCATGCTCTCATTCCAACCAGAGCCATATTTTAAAATCAAGACCACAAACCGAGCGGTTGTTTAAAAATGCATGCTGGTATTTGAAGCGGGGCTTAATTAGTTGTTTTTGCAGCACGTAGCCTTCAAACACGAGACACACTTGATATGCATTTAGGACACAGCGAGAGAGCTAATTACTGAACAGAAATCACAGTGTTAGTCAGCCGTGTTGCACGACAATATCTACCTTTTTAAAAAGTGACCCAACAGGCTTGGACCGTATGTCTCTTTCTTTTCCACCACGATAATGATCTAAACAGTCCGTTATTCAGCGGACCTTCATGCTTTTCGCAGCTGTACTTTACTGAGATTTTGCGACACAACATCAGAAGCGTCTGTGAACAGAGCCAGCTGTTCCAGAATTCCCCCCCTTGTGTTTTCATCCTGGACTGTTTATGGAAAGTAAATGTTGCTCTCATGAAAGAGGTCTTTGAAGTTCAGAGTCGTTGAAGATAGTGTGAGAGTGAGCAAATGAAATGCATTTTACTCTGTTACCTTTCTTTTATGAAGTGGCTTATCTGGACAGTATCCAACAGATGGAAATTAGCTAGTCAGCTAAATCTGGTACAAAGCATCTCTTCTCTTCTGAGGCTAATGGTTTTTTTTGTACACTGTCCCTGATTCAAATGAACGATCCTCCGCTGAATGTGTATTTGCATATAGTTGAGATACTTGAGATAAATGGTGAAAGTGAGACGGGATTCCACATCATTCCTTACCTTTTCCCCTCCAAAGACTCTCTACCTCCCGAGGAATCATCACATTTTTTTTTAAATTTCACTCTCACTCTTCAATTTTCCTGCAGAACATAGTGACGCTGTCTCCCCCGCCCGAGCCTGCCGATTGGTCGGCGGTCAGCATCAACACCGACCTCTACCTGGGGACCATCCGCACCTCGGTCAGCGGCCTCATCGAGAAGTTCCAGGAGGAGCTTAAGAGGCTGTACGGGAAAGGTGAGGATACCGCCGACGGAGGTTACTGCCATATAGTTCTGAAATAGAAAACGAGTAATAACATGAAGAGTTTGACAGAGAGAAAATGACCAGAGTGGTGTTTGAAAGTGTTTTTTTACCTTCAGTGGCGCTGCCCTGATGCCCTCACAGACTTTAGTGCTGCAGTATTAGTTAAAGGTGATACAACAGAATGGCCTTTGTGGTCGTCCTTTGTAGTCTTTTTTTACATATTGATATTTAAAATTCTGTTCAGTTTAATTAGACTCATGTAGAGGCAGCTAAATGTGTGTAGCGTCGGAGTCTAAACTTCAATACAGTGACAACAAAGTGAAGCATCGCACAGCAATGTAACATTATGTATGGTTTTGTGCTGCGCAGCGTCGCATCGTGATACTGCGCAGCGTCGCATCGTGATACTGCGCAGCGTCGCATCGTGATACTGCGCAGCGTCGCATCGTGATACTGCGCAGCGTCTCATCGTGATACTGCGCAGCGTCGCATCGTGATACTGCGCAGCGTCTCATCGTGATACTGCGCAGCACGCATCGCAAAACCATACATAACGTACGACATCATAATGTATCTTGTCACATCCTACAGTATCGTATGGTATCCTGTCGTATTTTATCCTATTGCATCATATCAAATTGTGTGATACAGTATTTGCATTTTATCGTATGGTGATTTGTTGTATCCTATCGCATCATGTTGTATCGTACTGTATTTTACCGTATCATATTGTGTGGCTGTTCCTCAGTCGGTAGAGTCGGTCATTTCTCAACTTGAAGGTCGGGGGTTCGATCCCCACCCCCCTACAGCCACACGTCCGATGTGGAAACACACTTAACCACAAGTTGCTCCCACTGCTTCGTCGGCAGCATATGAATGTGTATGAATGGAATAGTTACTTCTGATGGTCACTTTACATAAAAACCTCTACTATCAGTGTGTGAATGTGTAGGTGTGACCTGCGGTGTAAAAGCACTTATTCAGAGTATTCAGAAGACTATAGGCTAGTATATTATCGTACAGGCTTGTATGGTATTTGATAGTTCTGTATGGCACTACATTATGTCGTATCATGTTGTATTGTGTTGTTTTATTAGTATTGAGTAGTTAACAAAGAAAGACTTTGGACACAACCTTCTCTGAACATCTTCTGTTGCTATCTTCAGTTGAAATCAGTGTCTGCCTGGGTACAATCCTTCCTCCCTCCCAACAACCCTCGCTGTACAAAAACAGGGATGTACACAGTAGGTGACTGTACGAGCACATAGAAATAGACAAGTGACTCATCATTGCACCAACCGAACCCCGCGCTCACACTTTGACACATGCAAGATGGTGGGACAGATGGAGATGGTGTTGATGCCCCAGTTCACACACTTTCCAATCGAGCGAGAGGTCTGAGTGACAGCAGCAGAGGTCTGGAGCATTAACAGCTCCTGTTTAGATCTTCTTGTTTACCGCCCACACGTGCCATCTGCTTTGACTTTGACTATTCGGCTGAATAACTCTCTGACACACACTCTCTCTCTCTCTCTCTCTTCCTCTGCATGTGCTTTATTCTCTCCCTCGCAGAGCTCCGCAAGGTCCAGAACTATTCGAGTGAGTACAAATCTTTACAACACAGAGTGATGACTCATTTGAGAAACTTCTTGAAAAAACAAAGGTTTTTTTTTGTTTTTGGCAATCATGGCAAATTGCAAACAAAGCTGAAAGGGAAGTTAAAGTACTAAAATTGTCCACAAGATGGCGCCACTTCTCCACCGCAGAGTTAGACTCGATTCAGGGGAAAAGCAGCCAGTTTAAAAATGAAATGTTCACTGTAGCTGTAATCAGTGTGAGCTTACTCGTGCACTGTACTTACCTTCAATTTAAACGTACAATATGTAGAATTTTATCAGAATGTTTACATTAAGATATCCAAATTAATTTAAAAATTGACAAAACCTATGTTATATAATAATTTGTTGAGTACTTACCTCAAATATAACAGTTATCAAAGCCAGAGAACCGTAATTTTTGGTGTCATCATGCCGGCCGCTAGACCGAGCCAGCATGACAGACACGACATGTTGATCATTGACGTGGAAACACCGGATATTACGTCAAAGACTGCTACTACTGAAAGCTGCCATACATTCTTTTGTTATTGTTCGATTGATAGAGAGCCCCCTGACTGCGGGATCTACATACTGCGTCTTCAAGATACTTACATTTTCACTGAGTACGCTGAGTACATGTTTGATACAGAAGATGCTTATTCTGCTCCGTCCTGTCCAGGTGAGGTGATTTTGGACCCCGCCACGGCTCAGAAGAACCTGGCTGTGTCGGATGACGGTCGCCAGGTGAGGTATGAAGAGCGGAAGTCCTCCCACTCCGAGGGCCCGAAGCGCTTCAGCCCCGCCCTCTTCGTCCTGGGCCGCGAGGGCCTCGGCTCTGGGCGTCACTACTGGGAGGTGGACGTGTCACGCAAGACGGCCTGGACGCTGGGCGTGGCCAGCGCCTCGGCTCGTCGCAAAGGTGAGATCAAGCTGAGCCCCGGCGGTGGGTACTGGTGCCTGTGGCTGAAGAACGGCGAGGTGAAGGCTCTGGAATCTCCCCGTCTGCCTCTGCAGATGCCGTCCCAGCCCGGCAAAGTGGGAGTCTTCCTTGATTACGAAGGAGGCCACATTTCCTTCTATGATGTGAAGGCACGTCTGCATCTCTACACCTTCAGCCACTCCTTCAACGAGGGTCTCTATCCCATCTTCAGCCCCTGCCTCGTCCAGGACGGCAAGAACGCTTCTCCTCTAGTGATCACACCTGTGAAACACGCCTGAGAGTCGCAGTGTGACAGATTCAACATTAAGAACATCTCGTCTTAGTGAAGATACCAGGAAGGATTTTTGTTTTTTATTTGGTGTTGAATAAAAAACATTGTTCCCCAAAAAGAGCCAAAATAATAAGATTGACTTAAGAAGCACTTTATCTCAGAAAACATTCAATCTAATGAAGTGACATTTATATGACAAGGTGACTTCCTCAAGCAGTACCAGGTCCAGTAAAGACAAACATCATCAAACAATCAGTGAAATAAAGGGAACATCGCTTTAAGACCAAAATGTAACACAGAGCGGGATCTGTTCTAACTGATCCCCCCCAAAAAAACAGCTGAGTCATGTATACACATTTTAAACAGTTGCCATGGTTACTCTGTGTAGTTTACACTTATCTCAACATGTATAAAGAAAGACCAAATGAGAATATATGGAGCATGAAGGAGGATTATTCCAGAGGCCATATAGGACGTGTGGTTCAGATGGACGTGTTCAGAAGAAAGCACAGTTTGAATCCTGTTGGACTTACACTTTTTCCTGTTTTAAGTTCTTTGAGCACAGAGTCCATTTTTTTCCCCCGTACAATATTGACGCACAATCAAAAGTGAAATACGATCTCATGTTGTATTAATCATGTTAGCACACTGACTCCCAAACTTTCGTCCATTATCATTTATCTTGGTTTGATTTTTCTGAGTTTTTTCACATCGGGATCGGGATTATTCTGCAACTCCTTCTCAACAGGAAAAACTCTCTTTTGTCTATTGACAGGTAAAACTCTTCTTCTTTTCAGGCATAGGCCATATAGGCGGTCGCCTAGAGCGCCACATGCTGGACGGGCGCCGCCGATCCATTAAATGTGTTGAAAAAAACAGACTCTGTGTGAAAAAGCCTTTAGTCTTAGTTTACCTGTAGTTAGTTTACCTGTAGCTTTGAGACTTTGGACACTTACAGATGAAATCAATGAAGTTAAATTTACAGTGAAGACTTTTGGGCGTGCTTGTCGGGGGCCTAAATGAGACATTTATGTACAGACTGTAAGACTATGAGATTGTTTTGTTAGAAATCTAAATATGGGTGTAGGATTGTTTGTGGAGCGTTTAACTATGTCCTGTATTTGAACATGAAAAGTTTACTTTTGTACTTGTCTTTTGAGCTTTTTATTAAAGAGAATCTAACCCGCCTACAACGCTATCTGATTGGCTAGACGTCACATGAACAAGAGCCAGACAACACTGACACCCTGGGGGTCACTGAGATGCACAGACGAGATCAGAGTGGAGCCGGGGGAGCTATATATCGTTATCAGATTTTTTTCTCTCTCCAATATCGGCTCAAAAATCCATATTGGGTCGGGCCTTTTTCCGTATAGTTAATCTTTTTTATTATGTAAACAGAATCAAGTTTTTCGATATTTTCTATATCAGATAGTTGTCATGTTTGTGATTGTTTGTGACTTGTGTCAAACAAATAAAAAAGCAGAAATTCAGACTCATTGGCACCACCTGCTGGACATGAACAAAACAGAAGAAACACCTCACAATACATAAAAGTAAGTCTGTAATACAAATGAGTAAAATTCATTATTTCCTCACAGACATTTCAAATGACACCGATCAGAGATGATGCACCTGATAGACCTGAAAGAAGAACACTTCAGACAGTGCAGATGTGTCTGAACAGAAACGTAACACAAAGAGCTTCACCACAGTAGAATAATCTGTATCTTTGAAAAGGTGCAAAGCTGCTAAAGTATCATGTTGTTGTGTTTTGTTGCTCTCCTTGTGTATTTTGAGGGTTAAAGCGCTTCCTCCTGGAGCTCTGCAGGGCCATGACCAGCAAGTATAAATTTGTATGTGGGGTAAAAAGGGAGGGAGGGGGGTATATTTTGGGTCTGAGGTGCTTGTGTGTGGGGGGGAGTTTGAGGTGGCAGTAGTTCGAGCCTGTCTCATGTGTCAGTGTACCGCAGACCCTTCAGGCAGCTGCTCTCTGGTGAGTCCCCCTCATATCTGTTTTATCTGTGGCTCTTCATTCTGTCTCTTGCTTTTTCATTTTTAATATCACATCTGCTTCTCTTTGGGGCTCTTGGGGAAGTGTTGGCTTGGATTGTGGATACAAAAAAAATAAAATTGGCTTTTAATGAGCCTTGACCTGAGCCGAGGACTTTTTTGTTGTTGTGATTGAATTCAAATAACCATAAAGAAATTTCGCCCATTTCCCATATGTAATAATTGTTTTAAAGAAGGGGGGCACTGAAGTCGTGGTCACTTGGTTCACCAGTGTCGTTGCAAAGACATTAACGCTCTCTGCTATGAATACGTCGGCCTCAAGCAGTAAACCAATGTGTTGAAAGTTACAAGCTAATCCCAGCGTGCTAATAACAGGTGTGATATATTTAACTTGAAATTAAGATGCAAACTCCTGGAGTGAAAAATGTTAGATGTGAAAAAACACGGATTATTTTAAGAAGCAGGTATTGGTTATACTTTTAAGTCATGTTCTAAATGTTTTCCTCTTAGTACCTATCATTTTAGTAGAGGCCAAACAAAGTATGTAACTTTAAAACAATGCAGCCAATACTAAGATTGTCCACCAGGGGGCACATGCAACTCTAAATTATCGTTCCTATACTGTGAGTTTACAGTTGTATTAAAAGTCATTAAACAGGTCGTATTAAGAACAAAGTTAAAGGTTGTCTTAATGTCCACCCATTAGGTCAACAATAAATACAAAATAATACACACACGATTATCTTTTTAAATACAAGTAATCGCACAACTACACAATAGTCAAAGCCAATGGCAGCCGGGAGATAAATGTTTTTTAATCTCTCTGTCCTGCATGATGGTTGGCTGTATCCACAGCCGGGCGGATATTTTCCGACACTAGAAATAAGATTAAATTTTTTTTAATGTTTTGGTTAAATCAAGTTCAAGAATCTGCTTTTGGTCAGGCTCAAGAAACTCGAGAAAGAGTCCATTCAACCAAAATAACCGCATTCAGACAACACTCCCCCAAGACCGACATGGACTCATTTATGACCAACTGAAAACAGATTAGAACATTTGTTTTGAAATCTTTGGCTTCAATTTTGTAGGAATAAATGAGTCCTGTCATATTGAAGCCCAAAGCAGACATGCATCCATATGTTTAATACGATTCATTTTCGCATGAATCATTTCATTTCAGTGTTTTTCTTTTCCAGATCTTGACTTGATTTTTCTATCTCAAGAAAGTCTGGTTTTCCCATTATTACTTATTAATGTATCTCTTTATCTTGAGATAACAAAGCTTGTTTGCTCATGACAACCGGAGAATGGTTTTAGTGATTTGAAAACCAAAACAATTAGCCGGTCACTGTGATCGACCTGATCACAACATGCTATGCTGCTGTTGCCCACACTATGAGGTAAGTTAAGCCTATTACTGCGTCCAGATCTGAAGAAAAAAACTAAACAAATATTACTGGATATCATCGGCAAACAAATACAATTTATGGATGTGTGTCCACCAAGGGCTTCTGTAGTGTCATGCTATGCTCTGTAGTTTTGCATGAAAATGACCCCAAATAAATTCCCGCCATCTAACCCCAGCGACCTCGATATCACAGCAGGTTTGATGCCCCGTTCAGAGCCTGGTTGCTTGCGCTGAAAAAATGACCCTGCCTCTCCGCCGTGTAGGAATGGCCACCACTGGGAACCTTTCAGAAGAGCAGGTGCACTGCTCCATCTGTCTGGACGTCTTCACCAACCCGGTCTCCATCCCCTGCGGCCACAACTTTTGCCAGAGCTGCATTCTGGGATACTGGAAAACCAGCCCATTGTACCAGTGTCCCATGTGTAAGAAGACCTTCTACAAAAGGCCTGATATTTGCATTAACACGGTCCTGAGGGAAATCGCAGAGCAGTTCAAGGAGATCAGGGTTAGGAGTGCGGAAGGGAAGTTAAGCGAGGAGGAGGGAGAGGAGAAAGAAAAGAGGTGGGTGATGGAAAGGAGAAAAAAGGAGGACGAGGAGAGGCTTTTGGAGAAAGATCAGAAGCAGCAGCTACTGGAGGAGCTGAAAGAGAAGCAGGAGGAGGAGAGGAAGAAGAAGGCGCCACAAGAGGAGTTACCACCTCTGATCCCCCCTGTGGCAGCACCCAAAACCTCTCCTCCACCGTCACCTGAGGGGCCGCCTCCTCCTCTTCCTCAAACCTCACCTCCACCCTCGCCTCAAATCCCCGCTCCTCAAACCTCACCTCTATCCTCGCCTCAAATCCCCGCTCCTCAAACCTCACCTCTACCCTCGCCTCAAATCCCCGCTCCTCAAACCTCACCTTCACCCTCGCCTCAAATCGCTGCTCCTCCAGCTCCTCGAACCTCACCTCCACCCCAGTCTCAAATCGCTGCTCCCCCAGCTCCTCAAACCTCCTCTTCCCTCCCACCTCCATCCTGGGAAGAGGTCCTCTGCGATGTTTGCCTCGGGAAAGGCAGGCCCAAAGCGGTCAAATCCTGCCTCGTGTGTCTGACTTCGTTCTGCGAGGAGCACCTGAAGTCTCATTCCGCCAGGTTCACCAAGCACAAGCTCATAGAGCCGGTTTCCAACATGGAGGACAGGATGTGTCCGAAGCACGAAAGGCTCCTGGAGCTGTTCTGTAAGAAGGATCAGACGTGTGTGTGCGTGCTCTGTACGGAGACGGACCACCGGGCGCACTACACCGTACCTGTGGAGAGGGAATGGATAGATAAAAAGGTGAGGTAGCGTTAAACATCCTTTCACCACATTCGCATGGCGGCCATTTTCCTCTGAAGTCACACTTGGGGTGCAAGTAAAATACTGTTATAATATATATATATATATATTTTTAATTCAAATCCTATAAAGTTATTGAATAACAAATTGACAGATTAATCAAAGACAGCAAAGTTAGGTGACACATTTTAAGTTAAAACAACATATATGATAACCCATTACAATACAGCTAAAGCATTCTATTCTATTCTATTCAACCACTTCTTAGCTAACATGACCTTTTATTAATGTTAGGATGTTTATAAGTCCTAAGCTTAAAGTAATTTACATAAGCTAACAGTAAGATTAGCTAGGAACTAGCTAAATTAGCTTTGGTGACTTGACTGTCAGTAGGCTGCGTATTGTTTTAAAGTTACAATTAAGTCGACTAGTGTTACAAGATTGGAGATGTAAAGGCCTATAGGCATAAACTTCAAGCTAGGTATTGGCTAAATGCTAAATTAGCTTTGATGACTTCACTGTCAGTAGGCTACGTATTGTTTTAAAGAGACTTAGCTGTCCGTATATCAATTGAGTTGTGTTATTTTACCTTAGAATGTGCCATTATGTCCATTGGACTTTCACCATTATTGTATCTTCACAACCATGTTTTCTAACATAGTGTTAAAATTAGGGATGCACCGGTACAACATGTGTATCTGCCGATATTCGCCCTGTTGACAGACATTAGTACATTAGCATATGAACCGATATCAGTAGCCGTTCACTACTGATTCAGATAAGAGTTTTTTTATTGGGGAGATAAAGTCACTTGTTGAATAAACTCTGACTCAGCAAGATCCATTGGCAAGGCTGTGTTATGGTCTCTTAAATCAGTACACTACCATAAAAGTAAGTGAAGAGATTTGTATTTTTCTGTCATTGTCTTTGTGTGAAATCTTGTTGTGCAGGCTCAGCTAAAGAGGACAGAAATGGACGTCCAGCAAATGATCCAAGAAAGAGTGGAAAAGTTGGAGGACATCAAACACGCTGTGGAGCTGCACAAAGTGAGTCCTCCTCAGCTTTCATTTAGACTGTCACAGAACGCGCTAAACAGAATATGATGAGTAAAAACGCAAGAAACCAAAGATTATTATGCCATTCAGTGTGCATATTGTGTCTGTGTTTTCAGGCCAGTGCGCAGAGAGAGATCCAGGAAAGCATGCAGGTCTTCTCAGAGCTGGTTCGCGCCATCCAGAGGAATCAGGCCGAGCTGGTTTTGTCCATAGAGGAGAAGCAGAGGCAGGCGGAGAGGTGGGCCGAAGGCTTCATGACTGAGCTGGAGCAGGAAATCTCCGAGTTGAAGAGGAGGAATACAGAGCTGGAGAACGTGGCTCGGACCGACCACATTCACTTCTTAAAGGTGAGAATGCTTTTTTTCTTCAGTAAAGCTTTTAAAGGGCTCACCTTGTTGCAAAAATGTGCGACGATATCAACAAGAGACCGGAGAACAAACGGGCAAACAGAAGTCAAAATAAAACAGTTTCGATACGTTTACAGAGATCGCAGCAGTCGCATACAATCGATGGTCATGTGCTGGTCGCGGAATGTAAACTTCACTGATTTCTCGCAGTGAATTTTCCAGCTGCATTCTCACATCAGCTCACCCTAAAACATTTTAGAGTTTAATACATGTGTCAAAGCATCATTACATGGACCAGAGTTTCCATACACCATCCTGCTTTTGATTGCAAAGAGGAGAGTATGCTTTTTTCCTCTCTCTCTCTCTCCTCTGTCATACTAAAATGCATGATTTTATAAAATAGTCGTTTCCATTGACTTACCTTTCTCTGGCAGCTTTTGTAGGACGTTTTAGTCAGCCTTCACTTTTTTTTTGCTGTGACAACACTGCCCTCTTCCTGTTGGTCAAGTGTACTGCAATGCATATACTTCACCAGACACCAGAGAGAAGGCTGTCAATGATTCTAGAAATACAACCTTGACCACCTTGTTTTCATAATCCTCAAGTTGTCTTTTATCATTCTATCTACCTCCGTAGAATTTCCCAGCTCTGAGCACTCCTCCTTCAGTCAAAGACTGGTCTGAGACCAGTGTTCCCACTGACACGTGTGTGGGCATGATCAGGAGATCTGTGTCCAAACTGGAGCAACATTAAATGAAATGATCAACAAACTGGCTGAGAGTGGTAGGATTTCCTTTGACAGTACACATGCAAACCAATAAAGATGTTTTTTTTTTTTTTTTTTTAAATGAAGTGAATTACCAAGTTTTATTTAAGATGAACTTTTTTCCTTTTCAGAGATTAAAAAGATTTTAAAATACACAGGTAAACTTTTTTTTTAAATAAATTTGGTTTGGTCATTTTTATCATCTATAAACCAAATCAAATAAATAATACTTTTCATTTTGCTTCTGCAGTGGACGTCACCCTGGACCCCGACTCAGCCAACCCGTGGCTGCAGCTCTCTCAGGACAGACATCAGGTGAGACACCTGGGTGCATGGCAGGACCTCCCAGACCACCCCGACCGCTTCGACACCGTGGTCATCGTCCTGGCCCGTGATGGCTTCACCTCAGGGAGGCATTACTGGGAGGTCCAGGTGGGGGACAAAGACGACTGGTACATGGGTGTAGCAAGGTCCTCTGTCAACAGGAAGGGCAGGATCTCTGTCAGCACCACACAGGGCTACTGGGCTCTGGCCATGAAGAAAGGCCAGGGCTACCGGGTGTCCACGTCCCCGCCCATCCTGCTCACCCTGGACCCCAAACCAAAGCGAGTGGGCGTGTATGTGGACTACGAGGAGGGGCAAGTGTCCTTCTATGACGTGAGGGCACGGACTCATATTTACACAATTAAAGATACGTTCAGGGAGAAGATCCTTCCCTTTTTCTACCTGTACTGCTGCGACAAAGCCTCAGATACCATGATGATTTGTCCTGTGAATGAGAAAAGCCTGATCAAGCAAAGCTAAGACGAGTTTGAAAGAAAAGACAATATCAAGAAAGCCTTTGCAAAAAAAGCTACATTTGCTTAGCTACTTTATAGAAAAAGCCAACATGCTAGTTAGCTTAGCATAAAGACGAGAAGCAGAAGGCTAATAGCTAGCCTAGCTCTGTCCATAAGCAACAAAATCTGCCTAGCAACACCCCTTCAATTTACTTTTTAACACATTACTTTCAAGAATAATAAACAAATAAATTAAACATTTTGTTCAGATTTGACAAGAATGGTGTTGCTGTTTAAGTTGTGCACAAGGAGTTTTCATTGGGAGATTAGCGTGACAGTAGCTGCTAAACTTAGCTTTGGGTTTTTTGCTTTTTACCTCACAGATGTAAAACAAAAAAATTGACATTTTCATATAATTCACTGCAGAACCAAAAAGCATTTCTTCTGATGCATGATGTGTAAAACAGTCTCACGTTTTAGACTTCTGATCTGTGATTTCCTGATGCATGTATCTTTTGAACAATGTGATTGATGCTGTAAATGTGAATGGAAAATAACAGTGTGTTTATGATTTATGACAATAAATTTTCTCTCAAATGTCTCTCTATGGGGCTTCTTCAAAACTGCTTAAGTTTCGTTTTTACTGAAACCACACCCACCAAAGTCAGTGGGCCTGTCTCAGCCTCTCTGGGCTTCTCAGGATGATCACTGGATTGTCTGTAGTGCTATGATTGCTTAGTTTGGTGCTGAAAGAAACAGTTTAGACCTCTGACCTCGACGAAAGAAGTGTGAATTGTCGGGTGAGTCATTCTTTTAAACAGTTCTGCCGCTTCATTGATGTTTTTGATTTAAAAATCGACACTTTAAGAATGTGATACAGGATTCAGATGTAAGCTGACTCATGCGAAGATGAGTCACTGGGCAGGGCGGGGTTACTAAGCCTACAAATAGAAATCCCTCAAACTACAAAACTTTTAGTCCCATGCTATCATATCATGCTATACATGATTTATAAATCAGAGAAAAAAAGGTTCTTATGATCAAACTTTCTCCAACAGATTTCATAATGACATCCCTCAGGGTTTTTGCTTCATTGCCAGAGGATCAATTCCTGTGCTCCATTTGTCTCAACGTCTTCAGCAACCCAGTCACCACCCCGTGTGGTCACAACTTCTGCAAGACCTGCCTCAGCGATCACTGGGACAAGAGCGAAATATGCCACTGCCCGATGTGTAATAAAAGATTCTACGTGAGGCCCGAGATCTCCACAAACGAGGTCATCGAGGAGATTTCCACCCAAATAAAGAGGAGGAAATGTGAGACCCCTGAAAGCGCTGATGCACCGTGGCGGGTGAAGTGTGATGTGTGCACGGAGACAAAATTCAAGGCGTTGAAGTCTTGCCTCGTTTGTTGGACGTCGTATTGCGAAGCCCACCTGGAACCCCACCGGAGAGTCCCGTCCCTGATGAGACACAAGCTGATGGATCCCGTGGAGGATCTGGAGGAGAGGATGTGTGAGAAGCATGAGAGGGTTTTGGAGCTTTTCTGCAGGAAGGAACAGGTGTGCATCTGTCTGCTGTGCAGCGAGATCGACCACAAAGACCACGAGACGGTTCCTGTTGATGAGGAAGGCATTCGGCAGAAAGTAAGAGACTCCTGTTTGTTTTTGTCAAAGAATAAGCTCAAAGTCAACTGATAGTCTCTCTGATGAAATCACTCTTTGTCTTGAAATGTTGTTTTTTCAGGAAAATATTGAGTCCAAGAAGGCAACGATCAAAGTGATGATTGAGGACAGAATGGAAAAGATCCTAGAATTCACAAATTCGTCTGAAACACGCAGTAGGGTAGTCAAGACCACAGAGACCAAAACATACCCGAGACCAGAGCACAAAGACCAAGACTATAAATATAACTGAAAAATCATCATCTTGTGTGTAGCGGGCGTGTCACTCATTTAGACCGTAAGTCTTGATTTAAAATCCGGGTACGTCCAGTCTGACACCGAGACCGTGTAAAAATGCTTTGGATTCCGAGACAAGATCTTCAAAAAGTGGTCTCCAGACCGGTCTTGAGACCAAGACTGATTTTGAGTACTAGCACTCTGGAAAGAAACTCCAACTGCAATCGTCACATGTACCACACTTGTATATCTCTCTGATGACATGATTGTATATTTATTTGTTTTAGGAGAGCGCAAACAAAGAGATGGAGGACAGCGAAACGCTCTTCAATCATCTGATGAATGGAGTGCACGAGGTGCAAACTAAACTGAATTTGAACATCAAAGAGAAGCTACGAAAATCCCAGGAGAAGGACATAGCCATGGTAGAAGAGCTGCAGGAGGAAATCAGCAAACTGCAGAGGAAGCACTATGAGCTAGAAGAGCTTTCACAAAGTGACGACCACCTTCGCCTCCTGCAGGTTGGAAATTTTCCAAATTTTCCTGTTCTAGTTAACGCTCCTTTCCTGGACTTTTTTATGTTTGTAGAGAGAACAGGGCAGTGGGTAGAGTCGTAAAACAGGAATGAGAGAGTGGGGAAATGATTCAGCGGTTTTGGCTTTAAAAATAGATTAAATCCAGTCATGTGCCATTTATGGTCATGTGTTTGTGAATCCTTTCAGAACTTGCAGACTGTGAGCAACATGTCAGGCACCAAGGACTGGTCTAAGATCAGTGTCTACTCAGACATGTGCGTGCAGACGGTGAGGAGAGCCATGACTCATCTTGTTCATGATTTTCAATCCGTGCTGAAAACTCTGACGGAAATAGGTAAAAAAAAAAACAGCTTTATTTCACTTCCCTTAAGCCTGGTGTACAATGTATGATTGTATAAAAACTGTGTCAGAATATCAGGTCACACTGCATGACTGAAGCTCACATTTATACGCTCACACTGTACGATCTGATTGTCGGGCAGGACCTGAGAGCTCACACTGTACGAGATAAATCCGGAGAGAGCAATCACAATTGTCGATTGACAGTATGCGTATTTCAATTGTCACACACACACACACACACACACACACATTAGCATCAACAATAAACTCAAGCTCAGCAGCAGTTAAATCATGACAATTATTCCATGTTAGCTGGAGGTAGGTCCACAAATATTTCCTGCCAACGTTTCTTTAATGATTGGAGGGAGTAGACAGATTAAGCAGGCATGCCTGCTGTTGCCACGGTGATTTCGGACGTCGAAGTGTGTGCAGTTTTTTTACCAAAATTTCAAACATGCCAGAAAAATTACCCGACCTGTCGGAGCAGCTGATCAGTGACCGTGATTTGCCGTCCTGTCTCAGTGTTTACTGCACAACTAACGACGCATGATCAAGCTGAAAATCTGGCCTGATTTTAAAATCAGTCGTATGACTCAAACATCGGGTCTAAATAGGCCAGAAATCGTACAGAGGACGCCAGGCTTCATGAGTTACCCATTACTCTCTTGTTTTTTTAATATTTACAGAGCTGACCAGGATGAGAAAATATAAAGGTAAGATTATGGATACATTCAAATACATTTGTCCCTGATTTGGATTATTGGTGACGCTTACATTTACCTGTACTTCCTCAGAGTCTGTGACGTTCGACCATGACACTGCTGGTTCTGGCCTTGTGGTGTCTGACGGGGGGAAACGTTTGAAGTACTTCAGCAAAGCCAGCCGATCGTCGTCAGATGACTTTATGAGGTTTGACTGTCCCATGGTTTTGGGGAAGAAGGGCTTCACGTCCGGGCGTCACTACTGGGAAGTCAGAGTGGGGCTGAGAAACAACTGGGATGTTGGCGTTGCCACAGAAACCGCAAACAGAACAGGGAAGATGGCCTTGAGAAGAGAAAATGGCTTCTTCGCCATAGGAAAGCGAGGTTTTGATTATCAAGTCCATTGTACACCCTACACAGCTCTCAACCTGTGTCCCAGGCCGAGACAGGTGGGCGTGTATTTGGACTATAACGAAGGCAGAGTGTCTTTCTATGACGTGGAGAGAAAGTTGCACATTCACTCCTTCACGCGGGAATCTTTCACGGAGAAAGTTTTCCCGTACTTTTATCTGCACAGCAGGGCCAAGAAATCTGAGCCGTTGGTTATTTCCTCCATGGTGGATTAAGCATCTCGGCTTTCTCTCATTTATTCTCTCATTCAGGATTGAAAATAAACAATAAACAAAGTAATGCTTTGCTGTTGTTGTCTGAAGCTGAGTTAGCTGAGTTGCATGACCTGCAGCAACTGTCCAGGAGTTTATAGCTTCCACAAAGTTACACTTCAATGAATGCAACTGATTCCTTATAAGGTAAAGGTATAGAATAGGGTCAGTAAATTGACTTGCAATGATGTCATTATTGGTAATTCTTTCTTTGATTCATGAGAATAAAGGTGGCCAACTTTTATTTTAGCATGTGTGTTTTTTCTGTCCTATGTGGCTGAAATGTTACAAGTAAACGTCTCCACCTGTTTTATCAGGTGTATGTAGGTTTATGAGTCCAATGAGTCCAACAGGACCGCCCTCCTTCCCAGCAGTGATGGGTGTGTCTACTGTAGGCTGTAAGTAATAACCGGTACACAGGAAGAACATGTAGCGACGGCTCACACTGTTAGAGCCTCAGGAGGGACGCGCTGGTGCAGTGATAATGGGAAAGGTATGTGAGTTTCATGATTCAATTGTGATGATTTAATTCTTATAAGTTTTGTTTTTCATAACTGCCGTCATTTTTTGTAAGTTTACAGAACTGATACGCTGAGTGCTGATCATTAAACACACACTTCATTGTTTACAGTTCACGTAAATAATGAGTGAGTCAGTTACAACCTTAGGACAAAAATCCACAACCTGACTTTTTTATAAAGTTAATAACCCGTCTGCTAATACTGCTGAAAAATACTGCAATAAAGACACCACTTTACGGCAGAGAATTCTTTATTCTGATTGGCCAATCACCTCATGGCTCTAACGCAGTAACTTCAAAGCTCCACTAAATCCACGTTTTTCCATGATAAACACATAGAGCCCCTGCCACCACAGTTAGAACAGCGTAATAAAAAGACATTACAATACCTTAAGAGGCTGTGACTCCCACCTCTTTAAACACTGAACTCCTCTGTGGCACTATAGAGGTTTGAGACAGTTGATATTTCTACAAGTCTTCAAACCACATCCACACGGAGCTGTTTGCGTCCTGTAGATTAGTGCAGTTAAAAATAAGGCGGCGAGTAAACCCGTACAAAATGCCACCATCTGCAGGAGGTCTCTACACCACGTGGAGGCAGCATACTTTGCAGGCTCATCACAAAGCTGTTTGACATGAGCCTGCAAAGACTTCCTGACGATTGCGTCTACTGCTGGATCCTCTAATAAGATCACAGATTCCAGCATGCACCTGCCACAGAACTGCTTCTCCAGGTCTCTCAGCACAGCCCTGCACACTGCCATCTCAAAGATTTTCTCCTGTGAATCTTGTTCAGAAACGGTTTTAGGTTGAAGCACTTCTTCTGCAGTAGCCGAATGTTTTGAACCAATCCATACAAGGCACTTATCCATTGTCACACAGTGATTGCCTTGTGTATAAGATAATTTACTTGTAAAGATGTGCTTGAAAGGGTGTAGGCCTGACGAGGGCCAAAAGTCAATTTTGCTATAATAAAAAGAGATTTCTCAATTTTTAAAGGGTTGCTGGAGTTTTTAACCTTAAATATTGCTTTCCTGCGTCATGCAATTTGTCAAGTTTGACATAACCCTCACACAATTCTTCTCCGTAATGGTTCACTATTATTGACAGACCAAACTTTTTTCAGCTAAAAACCTATACAGTAGGCTATATGTGTATTATGTAGTGTTGTTGAGCAATTTGGGTCAAAATCTCGACATTTGAGTACAGGTATTTCAATTCTACATATCCTGGTACATATCCCTCTACAGGTTGCAACCTAGCTACTGCATTTTCATTTTCTATTGGCTAATCTAGGGTTTGGTGGTACCAGCGTTCATCACCAAACCCTTTAAAAACTACATCAGCCGAGACAACAAACTGTTGGGAGTCAAGTGGATTACGATAATTGCGTCGCTTAAATATAACAACTCTATAGCTTGCTGGGAAATATTGCGATTGTAAAGTGAAAAAAACGAGGCTGTTTGTTTTAAAAAGGCTATAACATTCAAATCCTCCAAGGGCATCATCTACCATCTAGAGACTTTCCTCGTCATCGGCTGTCTCAGCACTCGCTGCTGACGGTTCAAACTGATATGGCTCTTGAACGCCATGGTCGTTGTCTACAGGAGACTTTGATGTAGGGAAGTCCTCAACTTCAAACCACATTTCTGTTGCAATAGTGTCATTGCTGATTTGTCAGTCGTCGCTAATGGCTAAATAACCTAGCTTTACTCGCTAATTAGTTTGTAAGTGTGTGTGTGTTTCGCATTGATGTTGTGGCTGATGATGACGGCACCAAGGTGTGAGTGGGTGTGTTGGCATTTATGGAAGCAATAAAACCATAAAACGACTAACAATATAAAGACCTATAGTTAATGGAGACTTTGTAATAGTTGATACGTTTTTAAATTAGCTCAAGTCTGGTGACTCAATGCAAAAATTCAGAGGTCCTTCTTCACAGTTGAGCCCTTCAAATGTCTGAACATACCAGTTTTCTTGATTTAATTTTAATCAAGAAATACATATAGTTACATAAATCATCCTTGTTCAGCTGTTTCGGAATGCTAACACCAAAGACGAACTACAGAAAAAGTATTGTGAATCAAATGTGTGCTAACATGTGTCCTATTCTGTGCAGATACACTTTAAACTCCCAGTGGAATACATCTTCATCTGTGCATGCTAATACCTCACCAACCCGGACCAAATGTGTGCACACGCACACACATGCAAAGACATATAGATACGCTTGACGATAATGTCAGAGCTGTCCGAGTGCTGTATCTGTCTGGACGGGTTCACCAGACCTGCGTCCCTTCCCTGTGGACACCGCTTCTGCCTGGGATGTATAGGTGAATTCTGGAGGATTCATGGGGCCTGTCAGTGCCCCCTCTGCAAAGCCCTTTTCCCAATCAGGCCACTGCTCGAAACTGACCAAACTCTACATTCCCCGAGTGGAGACGCAACTGTGCCTTTCAAATCTGGAGAGGTTCCCTGCGATTTCTGCCCAGCCAAGTACAGAGCCGTCAAATCCTGCCTGGAATGCATGGCATCATTTTGTGCCACTCACCTGGAGCCACATTACCAGGATGAACATCTCGGGCGCCATCTTCTGATCAGCGTGCTGAAGAACCTGGAGGACTCTGTTTGTGGAGCGCATGGAAAGCGGCTGAGCTGGTTCTGTCGGAGTGATCGAACATGTATCTGTGCCATGTGTGCCCAGACAGAACACAGGGGCCATCACATTGTTTCTATTAACAAGGAAGCTACAAAGAAGAAGGTACCACACCAGCAAACATTTTAAGCTCATTTATTTGTGTCACTCCATATTTATTGGCAGGCCTAACCTAAATATGCAGGGAAACTAATGCCCCGTTTCCACCAAGTGGTCCGGTTTGGTTCAGTACAGTTTGGTACAGTAAACTGAACTTGTTTGCATTTCCACAGCCAACCGTGCCATTATTTAGTAAGCAGACTGTAGGCCAGATGGAGTTAGCTGCGTCAGCTATGTAATAGTGTGAGATCATAGCAGCCCAACACAGTGTAGCCCGATATTAATTAATGTGAGTGTTGAGGAATACAACACATTTTTTCCAATTTCTAACACTGATGGATAATACCTTTTTCCCATGCCACCAGTTCAGCTGACAAAATATTTATTTCCACAGATTAAACTAAAATGGAGGAAGATCAAACTTCAGCAAGCCATTGAAGAGAAAATAAGCAAAGTTGAGAAAATCAAGCTGGCAGACCTCGGTGAGGAAAATCTAAAGGAGGTGTGGGCGCAAAATGAAGAGCTCGTCGTGCAGCTCGAGGAGGAAATCGCTCAACTGCAGAAGAGAAACACTGAGCTAGAGCAGCTCTCACAGACAGAAGACAACATCCACTTCCTGCAGGTCTGCTTTGTGGTCCAAAGATGGCTTAATGAAACCACTCGTTTTTGTTTAATTGGCTATATTTGTGACTTTTAACACTGGCAACACCTGATTCTTTAATGCAGTCTCTCTCTCTTGTCCTTACAGAGATTTCTACACAGAACGTCAACCTAATTCGACTACCGTGTTCATCTGGTGATTTATCTTCAAGAGCACTGAAACAAAAGGACCGGCATGCTTTTCAAAACCAGCGATAGGCTTACCAGGCAAACTATTGGAACACGTGGTTAACATCGTAAAAAAAGCTGGCATTAGCTTAATTTTATGCTAACTTTTTAAGGATTCCCTTTTGAATTGAGTAAAACCACTCGTTTACCAGGAAGTAACCTTTCAGTGCCAAGCAAAACATGCGAGTCAGAATACACTGGTAGAAAGCCAAATTGTAACTTTCACACATTAGTTTCCACAAACATTTTTGCTTATCATTGCCTGCATGTTTTTCAAACATATGATACAGCCAGTGAGCTGTTTGCCAGGGTGTCCAGTTTTTGTGCTATCTAAGCTAACCAATTGCTGGCAGCCTTCTATTTAGCAGAGAGATAAGACAGTGGTCCGACTTCATCACACACACACACACAAACAGAAAGCTGTCAAAATGAAAACACGATGAACTGTTACATTTAAGAACATAACAACAATAATATGCCAATACAATTTAAATCATGATTTGATAGGACTGTAACACCACTGGACAAGACGGACACTAAACTAAAAAACTGCACTTGATCTTTGATGCTGAAGGCTCAATGAGAATGAATTCTAGTATGATTGTAATTTATGCCTGAATGGATGATGTGATGAGTTCAAAGGAAAATGCAGAAACTATTTGACATTTCTATTCTTACAGTTGTATGTATGTAAACAGTTATGAGCCATGTGAGTGGAAAATAAGTCCATAATTCTTTAAATTAAACCTTTTGATGAACAACTGAAAATGAAAATTTCTGAAATTCCTTTCTAGCAGCCAACATAAATCTTGAGCAACATGCACATAAACACCACCCACCTGCCCCTCCCCCCCAACACACACACACACACACACACACACACACACACACACACACACACACACACACACACACACACACACACAAACACACACACACACACACACACACACACACACAGCCAAACACACTTTATGAGTCGAGTGAGTAAAGTGAAAGAAGGCTGTTTAGGAGCATCGTAAGACCTGAAAGGTAACATTATCATTCAGTATATTGTCATTTAAATGTTTTTTAAATTTAAAAATCTGCCAATTATTTTCTTTAAATTATTTTTGAAACCTGTTTACTAATTGAGTACTTGTTAATATAATGTGTAATTATTAAACCCCAGTGTGTTCATGGGCGTTATATTCATACAGTATGTTATGTTGGAATTTCATCCCACACTGTGCCAGTATAAAGTCGTACAACCAGAACATTAAACATGTCAGAAATGCATCTGACCAGTCAGAAATCAGCAGAGCAGGATGTGATTGGTAATAAACCTGCCAGGTGTCAGGTGGATCGGGAGAAAGTGTCTCGAGATATGCAAAGGACAGACTTAACTAAAAGAAACATTACAATTGGATAGAAGGGTAAAACACAATTCGGGCAGCTGGGATAGGACCAAAACGCAGATGGTTATAGTTAGACTTATGGTATACAAGTAATACATATTACATTTCAAATTGAGTAACCTCATGATGATCTCTTTACGCAGATATGGCCTCCGCTCAAGCATCACCCTGCGACACTGGCTCAATGGAGAAGCACGTCACATGCACCATCTGTATGGATGTATTTGTGGATCCTGTCACTACAGCTTGTGGCCACTCCTTTTGTAAGAAATGTCTGCTCAGCAACAATTACATGACGTGTCCCTGGTGTCAGAAGCCTCTACACGCAACCCCAGATGTGAACATTGCCCTGAAAAACATCGCTGAAGAGATTAAAAAAAAGATCCCAGAGAAAAAAGATGTGTACACTGGGGCGCCCGGAGAAGTGGCCTGTGACGTTTGCACAGGGCGAAAGCTGAAAGCCAAGAAGTCGTGCCTTGTGTGCGTCGCCTCGTATTGTTCAACCCACCTGCAGAATCATTCTACGGCTCAAAGGTTAAAGGGCCACAAGTTGGTGCAACCTGTGGAGAACTTGGATGAGAGGGCCTGTCTGCAGCATGGACGCCCTTTAGAGCTGTACAGCAGGACGAAGGAGAGATGCATCTGTGTCCTCTGTATGGAAGACGACCAGGAGGAGGTGGTTCCTACTGAAGAAGAATGGCGCAGGAAGAAGGTGAATCATATCTTTTTTTTTATTGCTCAAATCTTGACAAGTCCACTGTGGACTGCTCTATTAAAGGTCCCATATTCAGCTTTTTCTGGTTTTATATGCTCTTTAGTGTGTTTTCCAAGTGTCCTGTGCATGTTTAGGCACATCTATGTGCAAAAATTCAAAGTCCGCAGAAACGCGGCTTCTCCTACGTCCTCCTGTTAGCTGTAGCATTAGCTGCATGTAACGCTCGGTTCTAGCACCCCTTGATAAAAATTTGCCAGTGTGACGTCTTGTCAGTGTGAGATCACTGATCTAAGCCCATTGGCACGTTGTGGCAAGCCCAGCAGCTCATGTTGCACGCCCACGATATACCGTAGCCTGCGGTAGCATGGTAGTGGCGGTCCTGTCGGAGCCAGTGGCTGCATTCCCAATATGGTAAAAGAGGCGGGACATTTCCGAGAACCGTGCTGAGCGACTGACCAATTACGGCAGAACTGACAGGCCGACCAATCAGATCAGACTTGGCACACGTGGGGACTCTGAACGTGGGCACTTCAGAGCCTTAGAGAGAGAGTCAGAAGCGAGCCGGTGCATGGAGCGGCAGTTCATGAAAACAGACACTTTTTTTATAACTTTAGCTATTGTGAACATACTTTAGTAGGTACATAGATTAAATATATGAACCCCAAAAGGGCATAAAATGGGCTCTTTAAGTTGCAAACATGCTGAAATAGGAATACGTTCACACGTGTTAAAAGGTGTTGATTTCCATGCTTATTGGTGCGTTCCTTTTACCTTGGAACTCGGAGCTGGTAATGACGTCACACCAGATCAAACTGGCTCCAGTTGTGGTGATTTAATTAAACAAAAAGAGGACTAAGTTGCTAATAAACACGAATGTTACAGCTTAAACGTTATTGTTGATGCACGTAGGCAGCCATGTTGGATTATGGTTACTGAAGTTCCTCAGAGTTTCCAAGGTTGGAATTCCAACTTCTGGGTGGCGTTGCTGATGACGTATCAGACCGGAATTTTCGAGTTCCGAGATCAGGTTGAACGCACCATTTGAGAGTGCTTGAAATAGGATATTGACTAATTTTTTACTTTTTGTTTTTTTTTAGGCTGAGCTTGAAAACCCCAAGACTGAGTTTCAAAAGAAAATTGAAAACAGAAAAACACTGATGGATGAGACAAATGCATCTCTTCAGAGCTGTGAGGTAAGGCGCAAGGGAAGGAATTTTTCTGATCCTGGATTGACCTTTGAAAAACGGATCAGACCAGTCTGTGAACATCAAACTCGGACAAGTTACCAAATATGCAATAAAATGGAACTGTAAAAAAATCCATTTGTCCCAACAAATGATAATGCTGCCTATTGGGCCAAAATCTCAGACCAGTGATGTAGTAGCAATGGAACAGTTTACACTTTTTTTTACATGTCAAAGGTTTTGGAACAGCCTGTCCAAGAATCACCTTTTCAAGTGATATGTGTTGTTGAAAATTGATCAAGAAAATAGCCAATTGTGCAATGAACAATCCTTGCTTTGCTTCCATTTTCAGGACCAGCTGCACAATGAATATGGGGATATTGATGCTGTGTTCACAGCTGTGATTGCAATGGTGAAGGAAGCCCGTGACAGAGCCCTTCAGCCTCTAAAGGACAGGAGGCAGGCTGTGGAAAAGGAGGCAAAAGACATCGAGAAGAAGATGAAAGCAGAGGTTGACCGGCTTGAGAAAACCATCTCTAAGCTGGACGATATATCTGCACTTGAGGATCACATCCTTTTCCTACAGGTGCAAGGAAATTTTTAGAGAATGTACAGCTGCTGATATGTCTTCAAATCATTTAGAAAATGTCTGTCTTTTGAGAAGATGAGCAACAGCCAAGCCTTTGAAATTGCTGGGACTTGGCCCAATCCTATTTCAATCCTCTCAGCCCTGCCTTTGGTTTGGGACTTCCCTTGATACTTTAAAAATAGGGCCAATGAGGATAAGGTTGAAATCTTTGCCTATTAAATGGGACATTTCCAAGCTAAATACATCCAATATGTAGATTGTTCTGTTGATGCTAATATCAGGACTACTACATTCTTCTTCCACCCCGTTTGACAACTGACCTTCTTTTGAAGGGTAGACCCAATGCTTAGTGACAGAGTGCAGTCTAAATCAGTAATAAGCAGTCCATTTGACTGCTTGTTGGGTTTATCTCATTTTTTTCTTTTGACGTCTTTCCCTGTCCAGAAGTACCCATCTCTTCAAGACCTGGACAACATCAAAGATTGCCCAGAGGTAGAGCAGGACACGTCACTGTCATTTGGCACCATGAGAAAAATCACAACCGCTATGTTGGAATCAATTCAACAGGAACTGGAGCGGCTGACCCCCATTGGTAAGCGTTATATCATGGTGGTATGGTTGAAAGCTACATGTTGACATTACGAGTGATCTACAATCATTTCTCCACTTTACAGAGATTCAAAGAATTCCAAAGTTCACAGGTGGGTGATTTACTATTTTTGTTTCTAATGATATCCTTCAAAATGTTGGCTTTGTGGATAAGATGTGACTGTTATTTCAAATGTGTTATTAACAGTGGATGTGAGGCTGGATCCAGCCACTGCGCACCAACACCTCATTCTTTCTGATGATGGTAAGGAAGTCATAGACGGAGAAGAAGACCAGAGAGTTCCTGATTCTCCAGAGAGGTTTGACGTGTTTGGCAGCGTCCTGGGTCTTAACAGGCTGACTTATGGGAAGTCCTACTGGGAGGTGGAGGTCAGAAACAAGACTGGATGGGATCTGGGTGTAGCAAGAGGGGACGCAAACCGAAAGGGTAAACTAATGCTGACCCCAGACAATGGGTACTGGGTTACTGTGCATTTTGAAGATGAGAAATATGCAGCCCTAACATCTCCACCAGTTCGTCTGTCCCTGACAGGGAAGCCTCAGAAAGTGGGAGTGTTTGTGGATTATGAGGAGGGTCTTGTGTCCTTTTATGATGTGGCTTCCAAATCTCACATCTACTCTTTTACTGACTGTTCATTCAACGGCAGGATCTTCCCATATTTCAGTCCCCATTTGAAACGAGATGAGAAAAACACGGATCCCTTGATTATTTCTTCTGTGAATAATTGAAAGCAGGACAGGAATCTGTCATGAAGAATATTTGTTATGGGTATCAAATTCGGGCTGTTAAAAAGTTATGCTTTGTAGAATTTGATTTGGAAATGTGTGTCGATTTCTGCACTTTAATGCTTGTTGGGTTTGAAAAGTAAAAACAATTCCAATTTTGTAAAATTTTAACATTCAAAATGATCTGCAAGAATAAATGTGAAATCCTTGGGGAATGCCTTGGATCTGCAGTGCTCCTAACCTTTTGATGTCTTAAATAAGTTGTTCATTTCCGATGTTAAACTTAATCTGTATTATGCAATGACATGGTTCAGTAGCAGGGCAGAGGGACAGAGAGTGGTTTGCAGCTTTTTTCCCTAGAAATGAAACCGAAACGAAAAAAATGTACCAAATGACATTTTACACAAATATGATGAAATACTTAAAAGTTTGCACCAAAAAAACGCCTTTATAAGTAATAAGAAAATGCATTTCAATGACTCTTAACAGTAAATAAAGAGAATATTTTTTTTTTCCTGGTTTATCATGAAATGTGCTCTTATAGACACACAGACATGAAGTCTCTCTCAATGCTGTAGTGCAGTTAGGACCACTGATAAATGGTGGAGTAGAAGTAGAAAGAAGCATGAAATTTAAAAATTAAGTACAGACACTCAAGAACAGGGCGTGTCCAGATGGGTGGCCAGGGGCGGCATGGGCCCCCTAAGAAATCTGATTGGCCACCACAGGTGCCCTCCCAAAAAATACTAAACTGTGATTGGCTATTTGCCCTGTGAGAGGAGGGACTTGTGTTAAACCAACCAATTCGTTTTTTTGTTTTTTTTGGGGGGGGAAAGGCTACAATTTTGTCTTTATGTATCAATGTCTATTTCATAAGACTGGCACATAGCAAAGTAATGCACTCTGTCTTACTAACAATGAGCTAACTGGCAATGTGTACGGACCAAAACATTAGCAAATTAGACCGTGCAGGAGTTTGCACGCAAATTTCCAAGTACTTTAAGTTCTGACTTTATCATAAATCTTCTTTTTGTGAATTTAAACAATATAAGCCATACACTTTCGTTATAAAGTAGATATGATTGGTGAAGTTAGAAAGGGTAGGCCTGTATTTATTTGTGTATGTTTGTGCACACATCACACACACGCTCCAGTTGGGCCACCCCAGTCATGCAAGTCTGGACACGCCCCTGCTTAAGAAGTAAAGCGAAACTAGTGTATAAGCTTGCTTGAGTATACTTAGTTATGTTCACCAAATAAGTTCTGTCAATTTCATAGCAGGTTCTGTCAAAACAAGAAAGAAGTACTGCTAGGTATATTCACTTTTTTTTTTTATTAAGTGTTTCTGTTGAATCCACTTTTACACTGCTTCTTCACTATAATCACTGGCTGTGGCTCAGTGGTCTCATCTTTTAACCAGAGGGTTGGGGGTTCAATCTCAACCTCCTGCAGTCCAAGCGTCCTTGGGCAAGACACTGAACCCCTGAGCTCCTGCCGCTGTGCTGTGCTGTCACTGCAGTTCCAGTGAAACGCTTTGGCAACAACAATGTTTGATCTGTGTAAGCCTGTTTAACATGTGGCACACCCTGCATGAAGAGATCATTTGGTTGACTGTTTGCATACTGACATACCTTTTAAAGATGAGGAAAAAAACAAAAAACTTGCAGAGCCTTTCATCAGAAGTGAAACTGAACAAGGCCAAAGGAAAAGCATGCACACAGCACTTTGGGAGTAAAGAGACAAAGAGACGGAAGGCTCTGTGATTAAGGAGTATCTAAGAAGCTGAAAGGTAAGTTTATACTCTTTATGGGAGTTGTTTGGGGCTTACATTGTTCTGGTTATTCTTTTAAAATACGAAAAAAAGAGAATTTTATTAAGTTTGTTTCAAGACTAGTTCCTCTTTTAAGTTCCCAACAGTGTGTCGCACTTGCTTTAAAAATCCTCCAATGTGTTTATTTCTGGATTTTATTCAAGTTTTTTTACCTTAATGTTCGACACTTCGACTGAATCTCTCGGCTAATGGGGTTAAACATGCACACTAATAAACCAATGTTGACTAAACACTCGAGGCTGAATTGTTCAGTATAGGTGTGGTGCTAGTAATACTTTACAGGGCTGAACAGTCCTCATGTCTCCGTGTTGTTCAGGGAGAAAATAACTTTGTCATCCTGACTTTTAAAACTGTATCGTGACAAAAAAAAACATGATTAATAAATGAAATATATTTCATTATTTTGTTGACGGTGATAACTGAAAGCAGTGATGCTGATAAAAAAAAAATCACTGATCTTGTCTTCTAAACTTCAAACTTTAGATAAAGTGGTTGTTGTAGAAACTTGATTATTTTTCCCTCAGTTATAGAACATAATCCTGGTTGGAAAAAATAACTCTGTTATCTAAGAATCTCACCAATTGCTGATGAAATTACTGAATTAGAAGAACCGGTTTAGTGCCTAGGGTGAGGCCATTTAGAGTGCGGGACTTTGGTAACTTAAGACTGTATAAAACATGAACGTAGTGTCAATGAAGTCACCCATTTGTTTTCTAAAGAAGACTTTTGAAGCCCAACACTGGCAGTCGGCATATTGGAAATGCTATCTTATGCTAACTAATAGCAACAGGAAAAGAGGTGGAGCTGTGGTTGGCCTTAAGCCTCCTGGCCAACAGCTACAACACAACCGCCCTGCCTTTCAGATCAGCCGCGCCCCTAATTATACGCTATCATCAGAACCGATTAGTTAAAACAAATTCACCCACAGTACAGTCTGTATCTATAAAGAACTACAGGCAGAGGGCAGAACAAACACCTAGCTGTGGGGGTGTCACCCACCTGGGGGAGGGGTTACTGCCCTTTGTGATGTCATGAAGGGAAAACCTCCAAACGGCCTGTTTGAGCACACATTTTCTGAAAAGTGGAGCAGGTAAAAGACAAAGAGGATGGACTTTTCTCATGAATGGGGGGTTTGTAGACAGACTAGGGACACACATTAGTGTTAGAGAAACATGGTGAAGTGTATTTTGCACAATATGTGGCCTTTGAGTAATCAGTGTATTTTTTTTTCTCTTAAGGAGGTTGATAAGCTTTGTGTTGAACCTGTTTGATTTAATAACCTACACACATTTTGGAGTATAACTATCGTCACAAAACGGATCAAAGGCAGCAGGTTGAAGGACCCAAATGCAGACGGCACTGGGCAGACTGGTGCAGTCCACGGATATAAAAGTAGCAATCATAATAATACGTTTATTTGGTATAGCACCTTTCACAGAGGTCACACAAGGTTGCAACGTGCTTTACAGAATATTACCACAACAGTACTAACAACAATACAATGTTGTTAGTAATATCAGGTCTAAAAAATAGGTTTTGGTAGATAAAGTGTGGGAAAGTAAATAACCTTGTGTGTCTGTATTACACGCCTAAAGGATGAAGCATTGGTGTCTGACAACCTCGGATACCGACTAGCTGAATATTTGGTCGTATTTCCGAGTACAACATAGAATTGTTTGACGAGGTGTTGACATTTCTAATTGGGTAACTTCATGATGATCTCTTTACGCAGATATGGCCTCCGCTCAAGCATCACCCTGCAACACTGGCTCAATGGAGAAGCATGTCACATGCACCATCTGTATGGATGTATTTGTGGATCCTGTCACGACAGCTTGTGGACACTCCTTTTGTAAGAAATGTCTGAGCCACAACTTTAATTACAATGACCTGGTGTGTCCCTTGTGCAAGCGGTATCTGAGCCAAAAGCCAGATGTGAACATCGTCCTGAGAAGCATTGTTGAAGAGATGAAAAAACCGATCCCAGAGAAAAAAGATGTGTACACTGGGGCGCCCGGAGAAGTGGCCTGTGATGTTTGCACAGGGCGAAAGCTGAAAGCCAAGAAGTCGTGCCTTGTGTGCCTCGCCTCGTATTGTTCGACCCACCTGCAGAATCATTCTACGGCTCAAAGGTTAAAGGGCCACAAGTTGGTGCAACCTGTGGAGAACTTGGATGAGAGGGCCTGTCTGCAGCATGGACGCCCTTTAGAGCTGTACAGCAGGACGAAGGAGAGATGTATCTGTGTCCTCTGTATGGAAGACGACCAGGAGAAGTTGGTTCCTACTGAAGAAGAATGGCGCAGGAAGAAGGTGAATTATTACATTGCATTCTAAAAAACATACACAAATCCAGATATGGATGGTGTAAAAGGTGTATTTTCCACATATTTGTAGATGTAGAAGAGAGTGTTTGAAATGGGATACTAACTTACTTTTTTGTTTACTTCAGGCTGAGCTTCAAAACAACAAGACTGAGTTTCAACAAAAAATTGAAAACAGAAAAACAAGGATGGATGAGATAAATGCATTTCTTAAGAGCTGTGAGGTAAGTTGCAAGGGAAGGAATTTTTTTGATCCTGAAAAAATCGGATCAGACCAGTCTGTGAACATCAAAACTGGACAAGCGAGTCACCAAACAGTACGCCATAAAATGAAACGACTGTTTGTCCCAACAAATGATAATGCTGATCTTGGGCCAAAGTCCCAGACCAGTCACTGTAGTAGCAATGGAACAGTTGAAGAATGACCTTGGTTTTGTCAAGTGGCATGTGTTCTTCCATTTTCAGGACCAGCTGAATGATGAATGTGGGGCTATCGATGCTGTGTTCACAGCTGTGATTGCAATTGTGAAGGAAGCGCGTGACAGAGCCCTTCAGCCTCTAAAGGAAAGGAGGCAGGCTGTGGAAAAGGAGGCAAAAGACATCGAGAAGAAGATGAAAGCAGAGATCTGCCAGCTTGTGAAAACCATCTCTAAGCTGGACGATATATCTGCGCTTGAGGATCACATCCTTTTCCTGCAGGTGAGAGGAACATTTTCAGAAATGGACCACTGATATATATTTAGTATATGAACATAGATTTCAGCCCAATTCATTTTAAGGGCCTTATCTTAAACTTTTATCGTGACATTACCAGGACTTTGCCCATTTCCAATTCAATCCCATTTGGCCATTTCCAAGTTTTGGACTGCCTTAAACTTAATAATGGCCCTACATAATGGAGCTAAAATGGGTAAGGGTGGAAAGCTTTGTATAGAAAAACAAGATATCCTTCATAATGTCAAACTCTTTAAGTTTCAAGTCCAATGATCCATCCATCCAGCCATCCACTGTCCTCCGCTTATCCAAGCCCAGCTCCACCTGGGGGATTCTAAGGCCAGATGGGCCCAGCCACCCTTAAACGAAAACTCCTTTCAGCCGCTTGAATCTGCAATCTCATTCATGTGGACGCTCACGGCCTCAGACTTGGAGGTGCTGACCCTTATCCTCACTGCTTTGCACTCGGCTGCCAACCGCCCCAATGCCTGCTGGACTAGCCTGATAAAGCCAACAAACCCAAACCTGCAAAAACCTGCGCTTACATTTTGAGGTCAACAAATATTAATCAATTTCATGATGTTGCAACTTATATTGACATTTCTGCATGATTAAGATATGGGCATCTTTCCCCACACCTGTAGCCTTTATGTGTAAAGTATATATTGCTTCAGGTATGCAAATCATGCTTTTAGAGTTATTCTGATACCATTTTACTCAATAATACCTATATCGACTTTGATGACATTTGAAAAGCTTGCTAGCTCCAACTGACACTTACACTGTTGATGCCTGTCATCGTCACCAAGGAATCATGGTTTCTGATCAGTGCATAACAGAGGCAGACACTAATAATCGTATTAGGAATACTGGTACCAATTATGATAACTGATAACAAATGATATCCCAATATTCAAACAATTTTATATTTTGGTTATACCAACCACTTGGTAGAACCTTTTTTAACTTCCTTTACAACAGACCTTCCAGTGCCAGGTAGGCCCAAGTGTTAGGGATTCAATTTGAGGGTTGTGATGCAGTCTAAATCTATTTCTCTGCAGTCCATTTGACTGCTTGTTGGGTTTATCTCAGATTTTTTCTTTTGATGTCTTTCCCTGTCCAGAAGTACCCATCTCTTCAAGACCTGGACAACATCAAAGATTGCCCAGAGGTAGAGCTGGACACGTCACTGTCATTTGGCACCATGAGAAAATTCACGACCGCCATGTTGGAATCAATTCAACAGGAACTGGAGCGGCTGACCCCCATTGGTAAGAGTTATATCATGGTGGTATGGTTGAAAGCTACATGTTGACATTACGAGTGATCTACAATCATTTCTCCACTTTACAGAGATTCAAAGAATTCCAAAGTTCACAGGTGGGTGATTTACTATTTTTGTTTCTAATGATATCCTTCAAAATGTTGGCTTTGTGGATAAGATGTGACTGTTATTTCAAATGTGTTATTAACAGTGGATGTGAGGCTGGATCCAGCCACTGCGCACCAACACCTCATCCTTTCTGATGATGGTAAGGAAGTCATAGACGGAGAAGAAGACCAGAGAGTTCCTGATTCTCCAGAGAGGTTTGACGTGTTTGGCAGCGTCCTGGGTCTTAACAGGTTGACCTCTGGGAAGTCCTACTGGGAGGTGGAGGTCAGAAACAAGACTGGATGGGATCTGGGTGTAGCAAGAGGGGACGCAAACCGAAAGAGTAAACTAACGCTGACCCCAGACAATGGGTACTGGGTTACTGTGCATTATGACGATGAGAAGTATGCAGCCCTGACATCTCCACCAGTTCTTCTGTCCCTGACAGGGAAGCCTCAGAAAGTGGGAGTGTTTGTGGATTATGAGGAGGGTCTTGTGTCCTTTTATGATGTGGCTTCCAAATCTCACATCTACTCTTTTACTGACTGTTCATTCAACGGCAGGATCTTCCCATATTTCAGTCCCCATTTGAAACGAGATGAGGAAAACACGGATCCTTTGATTATTTCTTCTGTGCAAATTGGTGAACTGGAAATGGATCTGTCATGAAGATACGGGGTTAAGTTGTGTTTTGGTAAATTTAGTTCTTTTTTCTTACATTGAATTGTTTCTTGTGTAAAAACATTCAGGGTACTGTCTGGAGTTTCAGACAACCATGAAATATTTCTTTAGAGAGGGATACAACCGAAAATAAATGTTGTAACAGCATGGCTTGGGATTTGGGCCTAACATTTCCATCATAGAAACAGGGAGGCGCTGGCTTAGCCACGGTGCGCCTAAAGGGACAAAATAGTATGCGATTAATCGCGTTTAAAAAATGAATGCATTAATTTCAGTCCTTAATTAATCGCAATTAACAAGTTAATGCCACACACACGTATACATATATGATATTATCAGGAAGAAAAAGCATAACATGTCTTTTTTTTAATCTACCATGAAATCTGATTATTAAAAAAAGGGGGGAGAGGGACTTCTGAATAATCTGTGTAAATATTGAAAACGTTGACATTGTATGTAACAAATCATCTAAAATTGTCGATTAAAAAAATGAACATTTCTTATGATATCAGCCTTTTTGCTCTCTTTTATTGAAATCATCTATTTTATCTGTTTCTTACGAAGAAGGATTAAAATTTCGAGATTAATCTACATTTACGAGAATAAAGTCGTTATTGTAGTCTATATCAGAAGAGCAGCAGCCTGTTCGAAATGACAAACGTGGAGCATCTTGTTATACTTAAGTAAAGGTTTCACAAATTAGGAAATACTGTAGGCTACTTCCTTGTGCAGTCCCTAAAAACAGTTGTGTATGCAGAGGAAAAGACTTTGAGAGTTCTTCTTTCATCATTTTGGCACAGGCTGGTCTTGAACTCGTAAATTTACGCGATTTAAATTTTGTAAATTTATGATTTTATTATCGTAAATTTACGAGTTTAATCTAGATTCTTTTGCCCCCCCCCCCATAAAGTCCCTAATACTCCGTCGTAGTTTCTTACTCAAAAAGTTTGTTTTTTTCATGTTATGCAATGATGTAGATTAGTCATTACTGCATGGCTGGGAGGAGATAAACCCAAGGGGTGAGAATTTGTAACTCTGCATTTCCACAAAGACAAAACTGAGTGAGAGAGGAAGTCCAGAGACGAGTAGTCTACTCCAGCCCTAAAGCAGGAAGAGGAAAAAAGAACTGAGGAAACCCACAAGGTAGGCACAAATGTTTTCTAAACTTTTTGTCTGGGTCAGAATGGTCCAAATGAATTTGAATCTGAGCAGAATTAGAGAATGCGCTTCAAACTTTCTCTGCTGTGAAGTTGGTTTTAAATTGGATATTCGACAGACATTCACACTGGAGCCAGTTGCGTAAACCTCTCTCTCTTCCTCTCCACGAGAGATGGTAGGAGGACAACCGAGACCTACTTTAGGGACCATCAACAAATCGTTGTTTTCATAGGGGCAAAATCCATATTTTAATCAGTTTTCGTCAATAACTTCCATGTTTTATGACCGACTATCCTCAAATAAATATTTACAACTAATACTAAAAAAAAAATGGAGGAATAAGACACACCAACTTTTCTCCAACAATTGTGATGTTCTTTTCTTATTAATATTTAACTATGTATCAATATTTTTATCATTTTTCAATACAAAAAAAAGATAAAAACACTAATATTGGACAAACAATATGGATTTGGCCCCTATGAAAACAGTAATTTGTTGATGGTCCCTAAAGTCGGTCTTCGTCGGCTATAGGCGAGCGCCGGGAGAGGATGTTACCGTCCTCCTACCATCTCTCATGGAGACAAGCGAGAGGTTTACGTAGCTGGCTCCGGCGTGAATGTCTGTCGAATATCCAACTTAAAAACAACTTCACCGCAGTCTTTCCGGGCAGAAAAGCGCAGACTGTGCGCTCGGAGCGGCCGCACACAAAAGGCGGATCTCAGAAAAAAGACACATTGAAAACAAATTTTAAAAAAAAGAAGCTGGCGCTGGTGGACAAAGCGGACCAAGTTAGAACAGAGGTCATCGTATCCTAACTGGTGACTCCAAATCTAACTGAGATATCAATACATCTACAGACGTACAGAAACACACTAATCAACTCTAAAATGTGTTTTTTAAATGTTTCATACAGGAAAATGTCTTACCATGGCCTGATGGCTCACCAGAGGAGCAAAGGACGCATGCCCAGTAGCATGAATAGTAAAATAAGGCAACAGCAAGACATGTTGGGAAATGATGAATCGGATGACAATGAAGGGGAACTCTGGCTTGAGGTCCGCATCACTGAGGCTGGTGGGTGCATGGATGAAACACCTCACAAAGAATTATAACTATGTTATTATCCAGTTTGATGTTGTAAATGAATGCTAAAATAAATGGGTTCAATCACAGCTCTTCACTACCTTCTGTCACAGAAACAGCAGCAGACTACTCAGGCAAGAGCCAGCAGGTGAAAAAAGGATACAAGCCAAGGGGGAAGAGATATGAAGGAAGTCAGCAGCAAGACATGTTGGGAAAGTCTGGATTGGAGAGCAATCAGAAGGACTTCAACCGTGATGTCCACAACTTGACCATGGCTGGTGGGTTTTGTATTTCAATATCTGAAAGCAGAGCTTCATGCAACATAAATATACAAACTAATCACAGACTCATGGGAGTAATAAAGCAAAGCACCTTGGTAACTCTTCATAATTACAAGTAACTTATTATAAAGCTATATTTTCAAATACAATGGCGTAAAATGTCCTGTATTTATATTTCAGAGGTGCAAACTTGTCACCTTCCGGCGAAATTTGCCGTTTTGGATCCCAAACATGTCATTTGTGTGATTCATTTAGATCTGCAATAAAAACATCTGGAGGAAGGGGGGGGGGTTAATCTGCGTCGCGAGCTTCTTGCAGCCGGTGAGCACGTTTCATACTGACTGCAGTCAGAGCGCGAGCGCTCAACACGCCATTGCAATCATTACAACGCTGTCGGCACGAACCCGTCCGCGTCGTTACAAAATCTTGGAGGTGCACAGCTGGGTCCTCAGACCCTCCGCAGACCCTCCTCTCGCGATTGCGCACCAGAAGCGTGAAACCTGATTCAATGAATCTCAATGTGCAGCACATGGCTCATTTACATAACGTTACTTCTCCGTGAAAACACTGTGGAAAGATTTCTGTTAAACATCCTGTCTGATCATATTTACTGTTTGGTAGCCAGAGGTAAAGATGATGATAGAAATCTGTGCTAGCTGAAGGTAACTTCATCAGCTTTCTGCTTCATTATTATCTCAGGAAACATTAAAGTGACAGCTGGTCAACACATGTAATAAGAGAGGGAATATAAACTTAATGAGAATCAGCAGGAGCTAAACATCAGGTTCATATATTGATAATGTTTCATATTTAATGATAGGAGATAAAACATTGTCATACTTGATGACTGTGTTATGATGTTCTCTCAGACGCTGCTCTGAGAGCTACCTGCACAGTGACGGCCCTTCACATCACCCCTTAGTGGAACATGGTGAGCCCAGTTCTGCAAATTCACTCTCAACCCTCACTCAAGGTTGGGAGCTCAGGTTTTTCATGTTTCACTGAAGCTTTATCAAAAAGTTAAAACAGAACATAGATATCGACAAGCGATTGTGTTTTTCTTATTGTTTGCTTCTTTAGTCTGAATTCTAAAATCGTCTGTAAATTCACATTTTAAAGCTGATATTTAAAAAAACAATCTTCCTGGGGGAGCATGCCCCCAGACCCCCCTAGGAGGTTTGGATCCATGTCACCTTTTTCATCCCTGATGAGTTTGCACCCCTGATATTTCTTGTGCTCTTATTTTATAACGATATGGACCTATGGGTCTGAAATGAAGTATAAAAAAAGAAAAAAGAAATCCTCCCAAATGTGTTCAATCACACCTCTTCACTACCTTCTGTCACAGAAACAGCAGCAGACTACTCAGACAAGAGCCAGCAGGTTTGTGACTGTGGATGGTCCAAATGGACCACTGACCGAGGCCTGAGGACTCACCAGGTGAAAAAAGGATGCAAGCCAAGGGGGAAGAGATATGAAGGAAGTCAGCAGCAAGACATGTTGGAAAATGGTGAATCTGATGACAATGAAGGGGAACTCTTGCTTGAGGTCAACAACACTGAGGCTGGTGGGTGCATGGATGAAACACCTCACAAAGAATTATAACTATGTTATTATCCAGTTTGATGTTGTAAATGAATGCTAAAATAAATGTGTTCAATCACACCTCTTCACTACCTTCTGTCACAGAAACAGCAGCAGACTACTCAGGCAAGAGCCAGCAGGTGAAAAAAGGATACAAGCCAAGGGGGAAGAGATATGCAGGAAGTCAGCAGCAAGACATGTTGGGAAAGTCTGGATTGGAGAGCAATCAGAAGGACTTCAACCGTGATGTCCACAACTTGACAACTGGTGGGTTTTGTATTTCAATATCTGAAAGCAGAGCTTCATGCAACATAAATATACAAACTAATCACAGACTCATGGGAGTAATAAAGCAAAGCACCTTGGTAACTCTTCATAATTACAAGTAACTTATTATAAAGCTATATTTTCAAATACAATGGTGTAAAATGTCCTGTATTTATATTTCAGAGGTGCAAACTTGTCACCTTTCGGCGAGATGCCAAACAGGTCATTTGTGTGATTCATTTAGATCTGCAATAAAAACATCTGGAGGAAGGGGGGGGGGGGTTAAATCTGCGTCGCGAGCTTCTTGCGGCCGGTGAGCACGTTTCATACTGACTGCAGTCAGAGCGCGAGCGCTCAACACGCCATTGCAATCATTACAACGCTGTCGGCACGAACCCGTCCGCGTCGTTACAAAATCTTGGAGGTACACAGCTGGGTCCTCAGACCCTCCGCAGACCCTCCTCTCGCGATTGCGCACCAGAAGCGTGAAACCTGATTCAATGAATCTCAATGTGCAGCACATGGCTCATTTACATAACGTTACTTCTCCGTGAAACACTGTGGAAAGATTTCTGTTAAACATCCTGTCTGATCATATTTACTGTTTGGTAGCCAGAGGTAAAGATGATGATAGAAATCTGTGCTAGCTGAAGGTAACTTCATTCAGCTTTCTGCTTCATTATTATCTCAGGAAACATTAAAGTGACAGCTGGTCAACACATGTAATAAGAGAGGGAATATAAACTTAATGAGAATCAGCAGGAGCTAAACATCAGGTTCATATATTGATAATGTTACATATTTAATGATAGGAGATAAAACATTGTCATACTTGATGACTGTGTTATGATGTTCTCTCAGACGCTGCTCTGAGAGCTACCTGCACAGTGACTGTCCTTCACATCACCCTTAGTGGAACATGGTGAGCCCAGTTCTGCAAATTCACTCTCAACCCTCACTCAAGGTTGGGAGCTCAGGTTTTTCATGTTTCACTGAAGCTTTATCAAAAAGTTAAAACAGAACATAGATATCGACAAGCGATTGTGTTTTTCTTATTGTTTGCTTCTTTAGTCTGAATTCTAAAATCGTCTGTAAATTCACATTTTAAAGCTGATATTTAAAAAAACAATCTTCCTGGGGGAGCATGCCCCCAGACCCCCCTAGGAGGTTTGGATCCATGTCACCTTTTTCATCCCTGATGAGTTTGCACCCCTGATATTTCTTGTGCTCTTATTTTATAATGATATGGACCTATGGGTCTGAAATGAAGTATAAAAAAAGAAATCCTCCCAAATGTGTTCAATCACACCTCTTCACTACCTTCTGTCACAGAAACAGCAGCAGACTACTCAGACAAGAGCCAGCAGGTTTGTGACTGTGGATGGTCCAAATGGACCACTGACCGAGGCCTGAGGACTCACCAGGTGAAAAAAGGATGCAAGCCAAGGGGGAAGAGATATGAAGGAAGTCAGCAGCAAGACATGTTGGAAAATGGTGAATCGGATGACAATGAAGGGGAACTCTGGCTTGAGGTCAACAACACTGAGGCTGGTGGGTGCATGGATGAAACACCTCACAAAGAATTATAACTATGTTATTATCCAGTTTGATGTTGTAAATGAATGCTAAAATAAATGTGTTCAATCACACCTCTTCACTACCTTCTGTCACAGAAACAGCAGCAGACTACTCAGACAAGAGCCAGCAGGTGAAAAAAGGATACAAGCCAAGGGGGAAGAGATGTGAAGGAAGTCAGCAGCAAGACATGTTGGGAAAGTCTGGATTGGAGAGCAATCAGGAGGACTTCAACCGTGATGTCCACAACTTGACAACTGGTGGGTTTTGTATTTCAATATCTGAAAGCAGAGCTTCATGCAACATAAATATACAAACTAATCACAGACTCATGGGAGTAATAAAGCAAAGCACCTTGGTAACTCTTCATAATTACAAGTAACTTATTATAAAGCTATATTTTCAAATACAATGGTGTAAAATGTCCTGTATTTATATTTCAGAGGTGCAAACTTGTCACCTTCCGGCGAAATTTGCCGTTTTGGATCCCAAACAGGTCATTTGTGTGATTCATTTAGATCTGCAATAAAAACATCTGGAGGAAGGGGGGGGGGTTAATCTGCGACGCGAGCTTTTTGCAGCCGGTGAGCACGTTTCATACTGACTGCAGTCAGAGCGCGAGCGCTCAACACGCCATTGCAATCATTACAACGCTGTCGGCACGAACCCGTCCGCGTCGTTACAAAATCTTGGAGGTACACAGCTGGGTCCTCAGACCCTCCGCAGACCCTCCTCTCGCGATTGCGCACCAGAAGCGTGAAACCTGATTCAATGAATCTCAATGTGCAGCACATGGCTCATTTACATAACGTTACTTCTCCGTGGAAACACTGTGGAAAGATTTCTGTTAAACATCCTGTCTGATCATATTTACTGTTTGGTAGCCAGAGGTAAAGATGATGATAGAAATCTGTGCTAGCTGAAGGTAACTTCATTCAGCTTTCTGCTTCATTATTATCTCAGGAAACATTAAAGTGACAGCTGGTCAACACATGTAATAAGAGAGGGAATATAAACTTAATGAGAATCAGCAGGAGCTAAACATCAGGTTCATATATTGATAATGTTACATATTTAATGATAGGAGATAAAACATTGTCATACTTGATGACTGTGTTATGATGTTCTCTCAGACGCTGCTCTGAGAGCTACCTGCACAGTGACGGCCCTTCATATCAGCCCTTAGTGGAACATGGTGAGCCCAGTTCTGCAAATTCACTCTCAACCCTCACTCAAGGTTGGGAGCTCAGGTTTTTCATGTTTCACTGAAGCTTTATCAAAAAGTTAAAACAGAACATAGATATCGACAAGCGATTGTGTTTTTCTTATTGTTTGCTTCTTTAGTCTGAATTCTAAAATCGTCTGTAAATTCACATTTTAAAGCTGATATTTAAAAAAACAATCTTCCTGGGGGAGCATGCCCCCAGACCCCCCTAGGAGGTTTGGATCCATGTCACCTTTTTCATCCCTGATGAGTTTGCACCCCTGATATTTCTTGTGCTCTTATTTTATAACGATATGGACCTATGGGTCTGAAATGAAGTATAAAAAAAGAAAAAAGAAATCCTCCCAAATGTGTTCAATCACACCTCTTCACTACCTTCTGTCACAGAAACAGCAGCAGACTACTCAGACAAGAGCCAGCAGGTTTGTGACTGTGGATGGTCCAAATGGACCACTGACCGAGGCCTGAGGACTCACCAGGTGAAAAAAGGATGCAAGCCAAGGGGGAAGAGATATGAAGGAAGTCAGCAGCAAGACATGTTGGAAAATGGTGAATCTGATGACAATGAAGGGGAACTCTTGCTTGAGGTCAACAACACTGAGGCTGGTGGGTGCATGGATGAAACACCTCACAAAGAATTATAACTATGTTATTATCCAGTTTGATGTTGTAAATGAATGCTAAAATAAATGTGTTCAATCACACCTCTTCACTACCTTCTGTCACAGAAACAGCAGCAGACTACTCAGGCAAGAGCCAGCAGGTGAAAAAAGGAAGAAAGCCAAGGGGGAAGAGATATGCAGGAAGTCAGCAGCAAGACATGTTGGGAAAGTCTGGATTGGAGAGCAATCAGAAGGACTTCAACCGTGATGTCCACAACTTGACAACTGGTGGGTTTTGTATTTCAATATCTGAAAGCAGAGCTTCATGCAACATAAATATACAAACTAATCACAGACTCATGGGAGTAATAAAGCAAAGCACCTTGGTAACTCTTCATAATTACAAGTAACTTATTATAAAGCTATATTTTCAAATACAATGGCGTAAAATGTCCTGTATTTATATTTCAGAGGTGCAAACTTGTCACCTTTCGGCGAGATGCCAAACATGTCATTTGTGTGATTCATTTAGATCTGCAATAAAAACATCTGGAGGAAGGGGGGGGGGGTTAATCTGCGACGCGAGCTTTTTGCAGCCGGTGAGCACGTTTCATACTGACTGCAGTCAGAGCGCGAGCGCTCAACACGCCATTGCAATCATTACAACGCTGTCGGCACGAACCGTCCGCGTCGTTACAAAATCTTGGAGGTACACAGCTGGGGACCCTCCGCAGACCTCTCGCGATTGCGCACCAGAAGCGTGAAACCTGATTCAATGATCTCAATGTGCAGCACATGGCTCATTTACATAACGTTACTTCTCCGTGAAAACACTGTGGAAAGATTTCTGTTAAACATCCTGTCTGATCATATTTACTGTTTGGTAGCCAGAGGTAAAGATGATGATAGAAATCTGTGCTAGCTGAAGGTAACTTCATTCAGCTTTCTGCTTCATTATTATCTCAGGAAACATTAAAGTGACAGCTGGTCAACACATGTAATAAGAGAGGGAATATAAACTTAATGAGAATCAGCAGGAGCTAAACATCAGGTTCATATATTGATAATGTTACATATTTAATGATAGGAGATAAAACATTGTCATACTTGATGACTGTGTTATGATGTTCTCTCAGACGCTGCTCTGAGAGCTACCTGCACAGTGACGCCTTCACATCAGCCCTTAGTGGAACATGGTGAGCCCAGTTCTGCAAATTCACTCTCAACCCTCACTCAAGGTTGGGAGCTCAGGTTTTTCATGTTTCACTGAAGCTTTATCAAAAAGTTAAAACAGAACATAGATATCGACAAGCGATTGTGTTTTTCTTATTGTTTGCTTCTTTAGTCTGAATTCTAAAATCGTCTGTAAATTCACATTTTAAAGCTGATATTTAAAAAACAATCTTCCTGGGAGCATGCCCCCAGACCCCCCTAGGAGGTTTGGATCCATGTCACCTTTTTCATCCCTGATGAGTTTGCACCCCTGATATTTCTTGTGCTCTTATTTTATAACGATATGGACCTATGGGTCTGAAATGAAGTATAAAAAAAGAAAAAAGAAATCCTCCCAAATGTGTTCAATCACACCTCTTCACTACCTTCTGTCACAGAAACAGCAGCAGACTACTCAGACAAGAGCCAGCAGGTTTGTGACTGTGGATGGTCCAAATGGACCACTGACCGAGGCCTGAGGACTCACCAGGTGAAAAAAGGATGCAAGCCAAGGGGGAAGAGATATGAAGGAAGTCAGCAGCAAGACATGTTGGAAAATGGTGAATCTGATGACAATGAAGGGGAACTCTTGCTTGAGGTCAACAACACTGAGGCTGGTGGTGCATGATGAAACACCTCACAAAGAATTATAACTATGTTATTATCCAGTTTGATGTTGTAAATGAATCTAAAATAAATGTGTTCAATCACACCTCTTCACTACCTTCTGTCACAGAAACAGCAGCAGACTACTCAGACAAGAGCCAGCAGGTGAAAAAAGGATACAAGCCAAGGGGGAGAGATGTGAAGGAAGTCAGCAGCAAGACATGTTGGGAAAGTCTGGATTGGAGAGCAATCAGAGGACTTCAACCGTGATGTCCACAACTTGACAACTGGTGGGTTTTGTATTTCAATATCTGAAAGCAGAGCTTCATGCAACATAAATATACAAACTAATCACAGACTCATGGGAGTAATAAAGCAAAGCACCTTGGTAACTCTTCATAATTACAAGTAACTTATTATAAAGCTATATTTCAAATACAATGGTGTAAAATGTCCTGTATTTATATTTCAGAGTGCAAACTTGTCACCTTCCGGCGAAATTTGCCGTTTTGGATCCCAAACAGGTCATTTGTGTGATTCATTTAGATCTGCAATAAAAACATCTGGAGGAAGGGGGGGGGGTTAATCTGCGACGCGAGCTTTTGCAGCCGGTGAGCACGTTTCATACTGACTGCAGTCAGAGCGCGAGCGCTCAACACGCCATTGCAATCATTACAACGCTGTCGGCACGAACCCGTCCGCGTCGTTACAAAATCTTGGAGGTACACAGCTGGGTCCTCAGACCCTCCGCAGACCCTCCTCTCGCGATTGCGCACCAGAAGCGTGAAACCTGATTCAATGAGTCTCAATGTGCAGCACATGGCTCATTTACATAACGTTACTTCTCCGTGGAAACACTGTGGAAAGATTTCTGTTAAACATCCTGTCTGATCATATTTACTGTTTGGTAGCCAGAGGTAAAGATGATGATAGAAATCTGTGCTAGCTGAAGGTAACTTCATCCAGCTTTCTGCTTCATTATTATCTCAGGAAACATTAAAGTGACAGCTGGTCAACACATGTAATAAGAGAGGGAATATAAACTTAATGAGAATCAGCAGGAGCTAAACATCAGGTTCATATATTGATAATGTTACATATTTAATAATAGGAGATAAAACATTGTCATACTTGATGACTGTGTTATGATGTTCTCTCAGACGCTGCTCTGAGAGCTACCTGCACAGTGACGGCCCTTCACATCAGCCCTTAGTGGAACATGGTGAGCCCAGTTCTGCAAATTCACTCTCAACCCTCACTCAAGGTTGGGAGCTCAGGTTTTTCATGTTTCACTGAAGCTTTATCAAAAAGTTAAAAACAGAACATAGATATCGACAAGCGATTGTGTTTTTTTATTGTTTGCTTCTTTAGTCTGAATTCTAAAATCGTCTGTAAATTCACATTTTAAAGCTGATATTTAAAAAAACAATCTTCCTGGGAGCATGCCCCAGACCCCCTAGGAGGTTTGGATCCATGTCACCTTTTCATCCCTGATGAGTTTGCACCCCTGATATTTCTTGTGCTCTTATTTTATAACGATATGGACCTATGGGTCTGAAATGAAGTATAAAAAAAGAAAAAAGAAATCCTCCCAAATGTGTTCAATCACACCTCTTCACTACCTTCTGTCACAGAAACAGCAGCAGACTACTCAGACAAGAGCCAGCAGGTTTGTGACTGTGGATGGTCCAAATGGACCACTGACCGAGGCCTGAGGACTCACCAGGTGAAAAAAGGATGCAAGCCAAGGGGAAAGTCTGGATTGAAGACCAATAAGAAGGACGACAGGCTTGATGTCCACAACTTGGCAACTGGTGGGTTTTGTATTTCAATATCTGAAAGTAGAGCTTTATGCAACATAAATATACAAACTAATCACAGGCTCATGGGAGTAATAAAGCAAATCACCTTCATAATTACAAGTAACTTATTATAAAGCTATATTTTCAAGTACAATGGCGTAAAATCCTCCCAAACTAGATTTTTTCAATCACACCTCTCTACAAAACCTTATTTTAGACGAGCAAGTTTGTTTCTGTGGATGGTCCAAGTGGACCACTTACCATGGCCTGAGGACTCACCAGGGGTTGAAAGGATGCACGCCGAAGGGACTGAAGATTCCACAGAGCGATCAGCACTTCTGGAAGACTCAGTGGAAAGCGATGCACCCTCAGAGAATGACTTTCAGGAAGGAGGTAGGAATTACAAGATTGCTTTCTGGGGCAATCAGTCAACCATCAGTCAAAGGAGTAACATTGATAGCAATGCTAGTAATGGTGCTCAGGGGATGTCGACCTCTCTTTTGGTTGGTCCAACACTTTCTGGTTCAGAATGAAATAACTCAAATACAGAGATGAGATTTTTCTGCATGGGTCTAGAATCACAGATTTGAAGAGGTAAACCAAATTAATTGTGCAAGATAGTAAAAAGAATACATTTATACCGGGGGCGGGGGGATGAAATGTAAGCATGTGAAGACCAGAAGCGCTTCCTATATTGAAGGTGTAGGTAAGAGGCCTCATTACCCCAAGCTTTTGGAAGGTTTTTCCAGAAAGACACTTTTGACTTTCACAAGTTGACATGATGTCTTCGTGCTATTTTTCGGTCTAATATTGGGTTTCAATGTTTTGCAAGTCATGATATTCTGTTTTGGATTTCATTTCACACAGCGCTTTAGGGAATGGGGTTCTACTTGGGAGGCTGTGGCACAGTTAGCAGACTCTCATCTGTCCTTGGGCAAGACACATAACCCCAGGTTGCTCCCACTGCTTCATTGGCGGTGTATGAATGTGTATGATAGGGATTACTTCTGATGGTCACTTTACATAGCAGCCTCTACCATCAGTGTGTGAATGTGAAGCTGTGACCTGAGGTGTAAAAGCTCTTTGAGTAGTCAGAAGACTAGAAAAGCTCTTTACAAGCTCAAGTCCATTTACCATTTACATGTAATTTAGAGGGATACATGGAAAGTCAGTGAAATATCTACAAAGACAAGTATTTATGTGTTGTAGTTGTGCCTCAAATCTTCTAATAACACACTAAGTTTGAGTTTGAACCTCTAACACAGATTTTTGAACATTGTTTTTGTTGTTCCATCTCAGCTCTAGGGGACGTGAAGGTGATATCCAACCACCAGCTGATGGAAAGAAAATGTGTTACCAAGCCGACAACAGGGATTCTTTTACAGCCTCTTGGGGTTACGGGACATTTTCAACAATAACCAAAACAAATGTTGGTGTATGAAGTGGTGGACATAAGGGAAAACTTAATAGTTCCCAAAAAGAGTCCCATAGAAATGATCTCTGTTGGAGTTGGAAATATCTATCTATCTATCTATCTATCATTTGGGGGTCTGTAGACGCACTATTTAGACACATATTAGTAGAAAAAAAAATATATAAAAAAAATAAATAATAATAATAAAATAAAATAAAAAATAGTAGAAACATGATGAAGTGTATTTTGCATAAAATGTGACCTTTACATGCTTTATAAATTAAAAATATTACCATTGTTATAATGTATTTATCTATTTTTTCATGTTTAGTAATACATTTTTAACATAGATTCATTTTTTCTTTTTTTGTGGTCAGTTCACAGACCCCCCCCCCCCTTGTACATTTAAGCCTGGTCTTGTGTAAGAGTGCCAGTTTATTGTGTAAACCATGCAGTGGGGTGTGGATGGTGCAAGCCAATAAAAGAGAATCCACTTGATTGTTTAACGTGAAACGAAACTAAAACTTCTCACAGCGCACGGATAAAGAGACATATAGGAAAACGAGAGTCAGATCACAGAGAGGCGCGTCGAGGTAACAGAGGACAAGGTAAGCTGCCGGAGAGCGATGTTTCAACTTTTTGTTATGAGATATGTATTCAAATGAAAATAACTTACAACTAAATATCAAATCATTTAAAATAATGCATTGAGGCTGGAAGTCAGTTACAGTTTGGGCTGCTGAGAGAAGTTAATCTAATTGATGACGTCAAGCTGCGCAAAAGCACTTTTTACGATATGAAATATCACATCACATATATGACATGAAAATGTTATGACAAACACTTTATGCCTCGGAAAGAAATCCTCCTGAATTGAAGAGATGTTTAAATGTTATTAGAGCTCAATTAATTCATTCCTTCTGTCGCTGAGCAGCAGAGTGCACAGTGCAAACAAGTGTAAGTGTGGGAATAGAAATAGCGCCTGTGGGTAAGAGTGATACTCAATGCAGTGATGCAAATACAGTGTACGTTTCAGGGTGTGTTTCAAAACACGGCCAAGACAACATGGGTGTGTGTGTGTAACATATAATTATCTGTTTCCACCTAATGAAACCTAACACCTGACGTGGTGTCAAAAAAAGTTTCATATCCTCTTTTACTTCTTAGTGAAGAGTTGTGTGAATAGAAACTAACGCTTGTTTAAATCAGGTTAATAACAGATATTGTTTAAACACATCCATCCATCCATTATCTTTACCGCTTTTTCCGTTCGGGAGGGGGGGGGGCGGGGGGGGGGGGGGGCTGGACAGGGCAGACATGTAGAGACAGACAACCAGCCACACTCACATTCACGCCTACAGGGGAATGTAGAGTCACCAGTTAATAAACCAGAACGTCTTTGGACTGTGGGAGGAAGCCGGAGAGAACCCACGCATGCAAACTCCACACATTAAAGGGGACATATTATAAAAAAATTCACTGTTAAAGTGTGTTTGAACATTTATTTGGGGTAACCTGAGTGTCTACTGACCCCATCCAGTCCTTTTTTTGTGGTCTGCACAAGTCTTACAACACAGAGAAAAATGCTCTGTTTCAGATTTGCATCAACTTGTGATGTCACAGTGGGATTCTGGTTAAAAAAAAAAAAACAACCTCCCCTCCCCTGGTATCTCCTCCCATGGACTCCACCCCCTGCCTCGAGCCGAACTTTTGGGCAGGTCCGACATTTTTATTCTCGCTAGTGAAGGAGTGACTCTACCAGGAAAACAGAGAGTATTTCCTCATATTTTGACTGCTACATGTTTTTTTCTTTATCTTGTATCTCTCTTGTCTTTTCCTGTGCTTCTGTGATGTGTAATTCCCTTTAAGTTCAATTTATTCTCATCCAAACCTTGTTTTTATCGAAGTTTATGTTACACTATCAAGGCTTTCTTATCCACAATGACCGACACCTTGCTTCCTGTTCAGATTTTTGTCATTTTTCTTTTTATGTGTCTGACTGTAATACATAGTCAGTACCACAAGAGGGCGACAAATCCCCGGTTATTCCCAGCCTCACGCTGACTCGAGACAGGACATTAAGTTAACAAATAAATCAATGACATAAAAGTGACGATGAATGCAAACATTAGATCTGAAGAAATTAAAAAAAAGAACTCAGAATAAATCACATCAGAATCTCGCTGGTGTTTTATTTCTCCTCCAATATTTTTTCATTTCAATTTTGATGGTTTTTAGCTTAATTACAAAAAACGTGAACATTGAAAAGGTTGGTACAGAGGAAAGGACGAGGTGTTTTTAATTTATTTGAATGTATACATTTAAATATGTATATAGATTCTCCATTCTGATTGACTTACTGATTAAAAACATGTATTTACCTTCCACAGATAATCAGAGACTTCAGACATGAGCTTCCAGGTTTGCAGCTGTGGCTGGTCCAAAGTCACGACCTATCAGGGCCTGAGGATTCACCAGGGGAAGAAAGGATGCACGCCGAAGGGAATGAGGATCCCTGAGAGCGAACAATTCCGTTATAACAGTCATGTCCCCCAAATGACTTTTGCAGTACCTACAATCAAAATGCCAGAGCATTTTGAGGACCTTTTATCCTCTTTGACCAAGTCTGGTGAGTGGTTCACTACTAAATCTGTTTTTTTCTGTCATGGTTGCGGGATCCCGAAAGGATCACATGCACTTAAGAAACCCTGAGGGACATTTGTCATTACTTTCACCCACATATACCAATTTTAACTTCACATATCTTCACAAGTAAATGAAAACAGAAGGAAAAGCAATATTTTCTTATTTTCAGAGGCTGAACAGAACATGTGGATAAATGTTTGGGGAACTCATCGAGGAGAAAGCAGACCAAACGCCAACAGAGAGGTAAATAAAATCTGATTATATTGCCCATTAGGGATGGGACAAAATATCTATAAGGTGATATATATATTTTGTCCTGTCTTGTGTGATACAATTATCAACTCACTGGTGGTGCCAAATATCACAATTTCTATGATAAAAATGAAAAATTGGTGGCTTTAAACAGATTTTCCTGCCAATTTGACTCACGAACACTACTTCATGCCTCCTCCCGGGGGCGCTTATGACTTGAAAGAGGGTAATAGAAGTTGATGTTAATCTACCAAAGAAGACTTGGCAGCAGGATTATTAAGTACAGCGGTGAGAACAAGTAAAAGGATAAGATATAATATCAGTTGTCACCAAATTGCAACCAATAATCACAAATGCTGCACTTATTATTCCACTTTTCAACAGGTTTAAATAAGTCTCAGAGCTCCTCAAAACATGTGTGTGAAGTTTCTTGTTCTAAATCCACTCTGATCCTGTATTTGATCATGCCTATAAACCTCTCTATTTCAGCCAAGAATCCAAGAGAGTGAACAGCTCAGATTTAATCGTGTTGTTCCTCAATTAGCCTTACCGAGACCTCCAATCAGAGAAGCTGAGCCCCTTTTCACCCCTTTGACCAAGCCTGGTGAGTCGTACGCAACAGATTTTTCATACTGTTTACGGTGTTTCTTGTATTTTATCTCTTGTTGACACCCTGCAAATTACAGATATGGTACAAAAAGTAATACCAACAGTAGAAGGCTGAGGGAAGAGTCTGTGGTAACCTGTAATGATATGGGATTTAGTGCATTTAAGAAACCCTACAAGACAATGTATGCACTATTTTTACCTTTATATCAATGAAACTCCATCAAATGTCACAGTTAAATCAGCCAACTGAGACTTATACAATATAGCAATATACAATAAAAGGGATGCATGATTTAATAGTATTATTCCTCAACTGACCTATGCAGGACCTCCAGTCAGAGAAGCTGAGCCTTTGGTGGAAGTTTTCCCCACTTTTACTTTGTCAGGTGAGTCAAACACAACTGACTTCTTTTCAGCGTTAATTGGTGTTTTTTGTACTTTTGTATCTCTTGTTCACCTCTTGACAATTAAAACATATAGCTCAATATCATTGTTAATTTAGTTTCACAGTAAAATAAGCTGCACATGATTCATATGAGGATGTAACCTGAAAAGAAAGGTTCAAATGTTTTCTTTTCAGAGGGCATGAATAACATTCAGTTACATCGACGGGAAGACTCTCGTCAAAGAGAGAGCAGATTGACTGACAACGCTCCAGTCAAGCATGAGGTATTTTAAAGCAGAGATAATATGGTATAATAAACATTACACTAACTTACAGTTTGCATAACCTGCTTAGAAATATCTTTCTTCCTTGCGTTGTATGAAAAAAATTAATTGAATATATATATATATATATAAATATGGACGATGTGTCTCCACCTTCCCATTGAAGTAAAGTGAAGCCAAAATAACGACATCTTATGCTTGTGATGTCTTTCAGTGCCAGAGTCTCTGCTGTAGTGATCAGCTGGTGGTTCGCCTTTTACTCTAACCAAAACACATACTTAACTCGTGGTTATGAAAATCCAAAGACTCATGTTAGTGTTCCTGACGTTACATTCCCTTCGTTAGCTTGATTTGTAGGGCGCCGTTATGTGGTCGATGTTTTTATCCAGTGTATCATGGAAAACAAAGTGAAGCAAGAAACTAAATCTCAATCACAGACTAAATGTTGTTGATGAACCTCTGATTCATTGCTTGCCCCTTTATCTGACAGAATGTATTTTCAAGCCTCTCCAACCCAACGATTCCTGAAGCCAGAATAACACAATCTCTGCAGATGACCAAACCATGTACGCATTTGAATCCTAGTTTATCCATAACAGGAAGACATAAAATAACTATAACTGTGATCAGGTGTGGTTAACAGGGAATCATCATCTCTTTCTCCACAGTCATTAACAATCAACAGCAATCTCTGCAAACAGGCTTTAACTCAGACAAAAGCAATGGAGTCCTTGATGTCAACAGTGGTGCACAGGTACAGATTTGTTTTTGGTTAAACCATCATGTCAGTTCCAGCAAAAACTACTTCCTAGCTGTCCAATTTTCAGGATTTTTTGGTAGAGTACACACCCAGACCATTGTATGAGATATACTATTGGGTTTTGTGTAACAGAATTATTGAGTGATCGGGAAAAAGCTGGCCAACTTTAAAGGCTTTATATGCGATTTTTCACACTTAAATGTAATAGAAATCAAATATATCCTCTGAAAATAACTCTGTGAGTCATGACTGTCTACAATGGGTGTAACACCAGAGTCCCACTGTCTGTGATGTTTTCGGAGTTTTCCGAGTCATATTTTCAGTTTGTTGACATCCTCCCCTCGCGAATAAAAGTTGTTTAATTGAGGGACTAGAGAAAAGAAGAATAACATACTGTACTCACTGCTTAACTGTGTTTCTAGATCACGCTCATTTCAGGTAAATTTACATGCAGTGTGAAGATACGAGCATAATAAAGATCGCTAGCATTAGCATGCTAACACAACCATGCACCGCGAGTTGTTTTGGTTTCATGCTGGTGCTCAAGGACGACATCTGCTGGATCAAAAAATCGCATATAAAGCCTTTAAATGAGTCGAATCCAGTAATACTGTTCTCCCCTTCAACAGACTCTCTCCATGTCACTGGCGCCACTGACCCTCGGCACGTCAATGAACCTCGGCACGCCTCTGAACCTTGGCTCGCATCTGAACCTCGGCACGCCAGCAAAGTCTGCGGCTGCAGAGGTCGTATTGGAGGCGACAAACCAACAGTGTATGCGTCATAATTCCAAAATGTTAATATAAATACAAAAGATCCTAGTTTGACCATAAGCACTGTCTTCCTCTGCAGTGTTTCAAACTCCGCCACCGGCTTTTAATACCACAAGCAGAGCTCGTCGAACCCTTGATTTCCACACTGGTGCAGTGCAGGTAACAGCAGATTCTCCATTAGCTTAAATGTCCTGCTGAAGAGCAAATTCTGTTTCATAACCTTCAAAATATTTGTAAAACTATCCAAATAAAAAACATTGCTTGCACTTGTTGTTTTCTTTCCCTCAGCTGGAGCAGCAAATTGGTTTTAATACTCCAACAACTGCATCTCAGGAAAGACAGCAGAAGCAGAAAGACAGAGAGAGACAGAGGAAAGAACAACAACTAGCAAAGGTACTCAACTAAAGACGGAACTAGCTCCATGGTGCTGGAGCCGATCCCAGCAGTCATTGGACAATAGGCGGGGTACACCCTGGACTGTTCGCAGACCAGCCACACTCACATTACAAATCGTTACAATCCGTGCAAATGTTTTATTTATTTTTATTCAGGAAAGGCACGACGCGATAAGGGCAGATTTACAGCTGAAAATTCAGATGATAGAAATAAAGATGGCCGAAGTCAAATTATCTTCAAAGCAATGCAAGGTAGGCTGTGGCAATTATTTTATTCTAGATTTTAGTTTGATTCATATAATATGATATACAAAGCGTGTTGTTGTGTTCAGGTCAGCTTGGATACTGAATGGCTGGAGATAAACAATGTGTTCTCGGATGTGATGAGAGACGTGGAGGAGGCTCGGGACAAAGCCCTGCAACCTCTTGAGGAGAGGTCGGTCATGTCTTGGTTCTGAATAAGAAACACTGATGTGTAGAAAGCACCGTATGCATTGTACAGTATAGTTTGCTAAGACTAATGAAGTCAATGTTTGGTCCAGGAGACACAGAGTAAAGAGAGAAACAGAAGTCTTTGTCGAGAAACTGGAAAAGGAAACGGACCAACTCAAAAAGGCCATTGAGGAGCTGGAACAGAACCAAGACTTGCAGGTGAGCCCAGAGGATCTGAAATCCCAATTTTTTGAGATTTGACCCTTAAAACTTGAGCAAGTCTTCACTTATTTTTTTTCACTTCACCTTCTTGATCCCAGGTTTCTCCTCTCACATGCCTGGATGACTCTTGGAAAACTGTGACCGTCGACACATCATTCTCCTTCGGTACACTCAGAACTACCACTTCAAACATGATAAAAAACATTCAGAAGAAACTAGAGCAACTCTCCTCTACTGGTGAGTTCCTGTATTGTAGCTTTATAATCACAACAAAGTCATCATTTAATTCATTATCACTGGTTTTAATATCAACTCTCTTTCAACAGAACTCAGGAGGACTTCCAAATTTGAAGGTGTGTGACTCAAAATCAGCTCTTACAAAAAACTTTGTAGACAGGAAAATGCTGTGAGTGCTCACTTTTTCAACTCAGTGAGACTAGTGGGAGAATCGACTCACTGCAGTCAGGTGTGCGTGTCTGATTGGCTTGGATACAGCCCAGGTGTAGGTCTCCAATGCTCCGTGCTGACTCATTATCTCACCTTCAGAGGTAGAGAGACGTTTTATCGAGTTGTCTGTGTAACATGACCAAATTGAAAATAATATTTAAAAAATAAAATAAATGTGAAAAGGCCTTCCATAGAAAAATACCTCTATGTATAACATTTGCATACCAGTTCAAATTATGTTAATGATGTTTAATCCACTGGAAAAAGGATTTTATTTAAGGACAAAAACATGGCAAATTTTCTACTCTCAGTTAAAATGTTTTACTTTGTGAAGCATAGGAGAATTTTCTTGTTATTCCAAAGGTTTCTCTTTTTTTTCACGGCTCTCTTTCTGTTGTAATCTGCAGTGGATGTGAAGCTGGACCCGGCCACTGCTCATCCATTCCTTGAGCTTTCCCGCGATGGGAAGAAAGTGACAGAGGGAGGAAAGGATCAGCGAGTTCCTTACTCTCCAGAGAGGTTTGACATGTTCGGCAGCGTCCTGGGGCTCAACAGGTTCCCCTCTGGGAAGTCCTACTGGGAGGTGGAGGTCAGAAACAAGACCGGTTGGGATCTGGGTGTAGCGAGAGGGGACGCAAACCGCAAGGGTAAACTAACGCTGACCCCCGATAATGGTTACTGGGTTACTGTGCATTATGAAAATGAGAAGTACGCAGCAATGGCAACTCCCCCGACCAGCCTCGCCCTCACCGAGAAACCTCAGAAGGTGGGAGTGTTTGTGGATTACGAGGAGGGTCTTGTGTCCTTTTACAATGTGATGGCGAAATCTCACATCTACTCGTTTACTGGGTGTTTGTTCAACGGTGAGATTGTGCCTTATTTTAGCCCACATCTTAAAGAAAACGGGAAAAACTCAGCTCCTCTCATTATCTCGGCTGTGAATTAGTCGGAGAGTACGTCTAGTAAGCGCGTGTTCTTCACCTGGTACGAAATGCACGGAGACTGAGAACGGCTCTGCTTGGGGCCGATATCGTTACTGATATTCGGGAGGGGGAAAATTCTGATACTGAAATACCGACCAGTATCTTTCTAGATCTATCTTAGATTTTTAGAGATTGATTGATGTAGATAAACATTTATTGTGCTGATCCCTCAAATGCAGTTTTAGTGGCGCAATGGTTAGTGTGCGCGCCCCATGTATGGAGGCTATTGTCCTCCAAGTGGGCGCCCCAGGTTCAAATCCCACCTGAGGCTCCTTTCCCACATGTCATTCCCTACTCTCTCCCCCTGATTTCTGACTCTATCCACTTTCCTATTTCTCAATTAAAGGCACAAAAGCCCAAAAATAAATCTTAAAAACAATATCTAAAAAAAATCAGTGCACTGAAACACTAATTTAGAAATTTAGAATTAAACACTTGTAAAAAATAAACTATGCAAAAATAAATGGTCAACTTGAATAGAATAAACCTCGTTATATCAGAGACAAAATTAGCCGATTCCGATAGTCTCTTGATATGCTGATATATCGGCCGATATTATCGACCTGCCAATATTATCGACCAGCCGATTTATCGGTCGGGCTCTATTTTCTAGTCCCCTAAAACGTTACCTTGAACTACTGAAATTGAAAGCGAGTTTTTCTTAGAATATATTACATTATTATCTGGAGAAATCGCTCCTTATTTCTCAAACGTGTGTATTCACATTTAATCAGCGTAAGGCAAGAAGTGTTTATAATTAGAGATTGATTTAGGGATAAAAGTACAGTCATATACAACCTCCATAGAAATGTATAAACATGGATTTAGCGTCAGATTTTACAGTGGCATTATAATTCCTGAAATTGCTTTATTTTTTGTTTGTCCGTCCTGGTCATCTGGGGTGCTCTTTCTAAGCCGTCCTTGTTTACACGGTGTATTTTTAAATTATTTCATTCCTGTTCATACACTGGTGAAGATATTTTAATTCTTATTTTAGTTTGATGTTGTATATATTTTACATGTGTGAGGTTGCTGACATGATGCTAAAATGTATCAAATAACCAAAAAGAAGTGGATTTTATTGTACTGTGCTGTAAATGGATTAACCAATCTACAAATCATCTGAAATGGGTCTCTCTGTTTGTTTTTGTATATTTGACTATTAAATATATTTCTACAACATTTTTGGGAACTCTGTCCACTTCTATTTTTCACTCGGTGCATACCCATCTGTTTCATCATTCCTGTGTCAACATGTTTTTAACTTTCTGCAAACTCCAACCCTCAGGATGATGACTCCCTTTTCACTGGTATTTCAGTTAGTTCATACCTAGGTCAATGACAAGGTTGTTTGTAATGCATCTATAGTCATACAAGTATGAAACAGAGTATCCTGGAACATAGGCGGAAGATGATGAGTTAAGAAAAGATTTAAAGAACGCAGAAATGAAATTCTGGTGTCAGGGTGCTTTCATATTTCAAGAAACATCAGATATGTGGAAAAAATACAAAAACATGAAGTGTATAACAAAATGTTGAATTGCTAAGAGTTTAATTCAAAGAAGCATTGCCTAAAAAAGGATATAAATAAAGGTATGATAAGTTTAGTAAAGTACAACAGTATGGCATTAAACTCAGTTATGAACATTGCACATTGTTTTAATTACTTACCTTATTTAACCAGGTTGGTTAAAGAAGATTAAAAACCTATTTTTCAAGGGAGAACTGTTGGAAAGACAAAGTACAATTTTCAAAACACTTAGCACATGCAAACAAACATGGCGCATGCTCAGCAACATAGCAGTCCGATAATCAAAACTTGCACTAAAACTTCACCCTGGTGAAATACAGTTCTGGATTGTGGGAGCCCTGCAGAGTGTGAACCGTCCTTCTCTTTGCTTTGGAGACAGAAAAAGCGAATAAATTATATTTTAAAAAACCTTCATTGGCTTCCAGTTCACCACAGAATGGATTTCAAAACATGACTTCTGGTTTACAAAACATTACATGGAATGGCACCTCAATATCTTTCAGACATACTCACTGACTACAGCCCAATAAGATCCCTCAGGTCAGCAGGTATGGGTCTGCTGAACTTACCAAAGGTCAAGACTAAATCAGGTGAAGGTGCGTTTAGTCACCATGGTGCAGTTTTATGGAATAAACTACCTGCTGACCTGAGGTCTGTAGAAACTTTAAGTTCTTTTAAGAGTGGTCTTAAAACATTGTTTTTCTCTCGTGCTTTGTTTGTCTTGTGTGTGTGTGTGTGTGTGTGTGTGTGTGTGTGTGTGTGTGTGTGTGTGTGTGTGTGTGTGTGTGTGTGTGTGTGTGTGTGTGTGTGTACATATGGTTGGTGCATGGTCCCTGTGAGCACTTTATGTGCTGTATGGGATGGTGCATGCTCCCTTTACAAACATATTTTGGTTTAAAGTGAGCTCTTGAATCCACTTGTTCATTTATTATTATTATTTTATTTAGTTTTTTCATGTTTTTTTGTTTTTGTTTATCATTTTAAATGAGTTTGTATTGTGTTTGTTTATTGTTTTCTTCTGTACAGCACATTGAGTTTACGCTTGTATGAAATGTGCTTTACAAATAAAATTGGATTGAAAATTTAATTTAATTTAATCGTGTGTCAAGACACAAACTTCATGTACCCTCTGCATAAATCAATACCCCTGGCGACCCCGGCTAAAACAGTCTGGACACACCCTCGGCTAATAGGAATTTTATCTCGGTCAATGTTGTTTTATTTTATTTATTTACTTTCCCATGCACAATGAAGGTAAACCATATTTTACGCTAGATTTATGGATGTAATTGACCATTAGAAACATAAACCACTCAGTGGTAAATTCACTCTGCTGTTATTATACCAGTATTTATGTTTGTTCCAGGCTACCACATGTTGCATTTGCTGAAAGTGATCAAGTACCAGAGTTAGTCCCTGTTCACACTTGACTTCTTTTTTCAACTGCCTGCGCCTTTTTCACATACAAGCCTATGGAAAAAGGAAAAAGGATGGCGCCTTTTCAAAAAGCGCTGTGCCTGACGCCTTTTTCAGTTGAATTATTTAAACTTTTCAGAAAAGCGCTGGGTGACGTCAAGCGCCTTTCTGACAGCGGACCAATCAGGACGAGTAGTAACCTACGTCCCTAGTTACCGTTGCACTAAAAGATGTCATGCACCCAAAAACGGCGAATTTCCAGCAGATGTGTGCATTGCGTGTCCGCTCCGGTCCGTTACGGGGCCGTGCATCCTCATCCGTCAACACCCACCGGCTGCGTTCTCAGTCTACAGCACAGAGAGCACAGCCGGACAGCTGGAGTACGAAGACACAGGAATGTCCGCGGTAATGTTACAGATTCACTCGCGGCAGCACGCGATAATACGATGTTCGTGGTATAAAACTCAATAAAAACCTTATAAACATGTAAGCAAACACATAAACAAACACACAAACAAACACACAAACGGTCGTTTTTCTGAACCGTCAAAATGGAGGGTTTTATTCTGAAAATAAACCGGATGTTTTAATGTTGTATCGGTGTCTGACTTCCCGTCCCGTTTGTTCCCGTTTGTCCCGTTTGTTCCCGTTTGTCCTGTTGTTAAGGTTACACTCGCATAAGCCATCAAAAGGCGCTGAAAGCAGTGTTTTTTTCTGAAAAAAGAAGTCCAGTGTGAACGCGGCCTAAGTGTGAACGTTTTGTGCATGAATTTACAAGAAGCAAATGCTGGTGTTTGTGTTTCAGCTATGTTTAGCATGAGGTCTCACCCACAGGGCTTCAAATGTCACACATACAGTGTTCATCTTGATACAGCACTTCCTCTTTCATAGAATTCAGTTTTTGTATCTGCATATAGGTTAGCATCCCTCTAACGTCTTGGTAAATATCATAGACATATATGGTAAACGGAGAAGCTACAGCTGTGATTGGCTGTTTATTTTTTCGCTCTACATTCAAGTGATTGGCTGTGATCCATGAGACAAGAGGAGGTTTAAAAGGGGAGACGTGTTTTTTAACTTGAAGCAGAATTTTGTCACTGCGTAGTGATACACTTCAGACCAACCCAATAGCATTTACAGTACAGAGGGCGACGAACTCGAGAAGGTAAGAAATCCTCCTTAGCTCTTTACAAAGAAAGAATTACAACTGATGTAATTAAATTAAATTATATTACGAGAATAAAGTCGTAAAAGAAAAAGTTGTATGTAATGACAACAAATTTGTACATTTACAAGAAAAACAAAAATAAAGTCGTAAATTTAGGCTAATAATGTCATTCAGTGGATTTTATTAAGTGGAGCATCATGTCAAGTTCAATCTTCACAAAATGCTGGTTTCCAACTCATTTTTATGACTTCCTCATTTCACAAACACACAGCTGTCTGACTCTTTTACTCTTCATCATAGCATAAAGGCTAGTCATAGCCTAAAATAACAACTTTATAATCATCAAACTTTGACTTTATTATGACAATGTATGACTTTTTGTACTCATAATAACAACTATTATTATAGTATTGGTAAATGTGAGACTTTATTCATGAATATTCCGGATTTTATTCTTTTCTAGTAAATTTACGACTTTATTCATGTATATTTGCAACTTCATTTTTGTCTATTTTAAACTTTATTCTTCTTAATTTTGCTACTTTTTTTCTTGTAAATTACAAATCTATTGTTGTATATTTTAAACTTTATACTTCTTAATTTGAAACTTTATTCATGTAAATTCAGAATTTTGTCCTTGAAAATGTACAACTTATACCTATACATTTACGACTTTATTCCCCAAATCTGGATTTTCTTTACTTGAAGAAAATAAATTCAAATCAACTTCCTTTTGAACTTTGTCAGAATCCTTTCTTTGACTCTTCAGAAAGCTGCAGTCTTATAACATGTTCAAACAGCAGTGTTCAAATGTGACTCTCTCTGTGCTGATGTAACATCAAGTTACTGTCCTGACAGTTTGAGTTGATTGAAGTAGTTGATTGGTCTACTTGTGAAGCCACGTTGGTTCACAAGTAGACCAACAACACTATCATTATTCACCTTCTGCTTATGGTCTGTATTGTTATTTACAGCCTTTTACAGACAGCTTTGTGATTCATAAACAACATGTTGATGAATTCTTATTCTTTCATTCTGTCTCTCTAGAGATGATGATTTGCCTGATCACAGTCACGCTCGCTCTCGTCCTTGTTCATGGGTCCGAGGCAGCGGATCACAGCGACTACTCATTTCTACCTCCCCACAATTCAAAGGCCTGTGAGAAAAACAATGACAGCAAGGCATGCGACAAGTTTGTTCGGAAACACATCCTTCAAGAGGTCTTCAACACAACATTAATGAAGAAATGGCAAGCGTAAGTTAAGGGTCAATATCAAATGGACACCGACTCGATGAAGACAATGCAGTGATTCATATTTTAAAAGGATATCTGAAATGAATGTCAAGCGTCACACCAATATTGCAAATGTATTTTATGTGTGTTTGTGAGTGTGTGGATGTCATAATACTTTCATGTGCCTTACCTATTATTGAAACATTTATCTCATTGTGCAGGTACATAAAGAAGAGAAGACTCTGCAACAGACCCTGGCAGTCCTTCTTTGAGAAGACAGAGGAGAAACGTCTGAACACGATCTGTAATGGCGATGGCAAGCCCCTGTATGGCCGCAAGGATAACTTGTGCATCAGTAACTTCACCATGACGTTTTATGTGATCAATGTCAACACAACAAGCTGCAAAATTCTGACTTCTGAAAATAACCTGAAAAAATCAAGCAAAGTGATTGTGGCTTGTGATAAAGTGAATAACACTTGCTGTCCTGTGCATTTTGAGAGTTACACAAACCAAAGCGCAGATAACAATGCAAAGCCCTGCAGCCCTCGAGCTTAAACTGAGGTTTTGGAGAGATATTGAACAGAGGTTTCCAGGTGTGAGGCATTGCGTGTTAGTTGCGGGTGTTTTTCTTAATTATTCAATGATAAAAACAGACTGTGGATTATTTTAGGGTCCAAACATAGAATAGCATGAATGACTGAAAAGCTTTTCAATAAACTTCTTACATATTCCCTTCAGCCTACAACTTCCTTTCCAGTTGGTTACACTTCTCATAGAAAGGCTAGAAAGAAGACATCACCTTCACTTGAAACTGATGTGCAAAAATTTTAATTACAATTTAAAGTACAAACAAAAGAAAATATGCTACATTGATTTGTAAAAAAAAAAAATACTGGCAGTTTTGCACAAAATAACTAACATTTGGTTTTAACATAAGTCCCGCCTCTGACAGGGAAATAGCCAATTACAGTTTTGGATTTTTGGGGTGGCAACTGGGTGCCCAATCGGATTTCTAGGGGGGCCCATGCCACCCCTGGCCACCTCTCTGATTACGCCCCTGCATATATCCAATAAAAAACAATCCTTGAGGTGAAATGTTTTCACTGACTTCATAGAAAACCATATAAGGTCTTGCTTTTGGACGGGTAACACCAGAGTTTTGTAAAAACTCAGCCAAATGATTTGTGATTTCTGACACTTGGAACACTTGGTTCGTTTTTAAACACACAGAACTGAATATAGAAGCGAGTATTCCAGAAAGCTTGTCAATATTATCAGGTGTTGTATTCAATTGCCAACAGCATGCTTTTCCTCAAATATTATTAAAAATATAAAAATCTTATGTCTGGGAAAAAACAGTTTTTCAATTCTCACATCTGAGTGACCAAAGAACCACTGAAAGTTGTAACATAGTCATCTCCCCAAACATGTGAATTTGCAGGCATGCTTACATACACCTGGTCTCTTTGCTGCAGCTGGAGGAACACTGCGTTTCCTCCATTATCAGCTGTGTCCCAGTACGAGCTGTGATCATGGATCCCTACAATCTTTTCGCCATTCTTGAAGAGAAACAGCTTCACTTCATATCGCCCTCCAGCATGACAGAAGAAAGTGAAGTAATAAACACCTGGAACAGGTGCAGTGAAGATACCTGTGGAAACACCAGAGAATTAGTCTCTTTCTTGTTTGCTCATGCTCATGCACACACTCTCACACACAAATACAAACACTATGCCAGGTGTGACAGGTAGAAGCACAAGCACCTGAAGTGAATATAAAAACAGCTTCTTGTACTTAGATGTGTCGGTCTGTCCAGTTGTTTGTAATACATGTAGGCAAATGCAAGCACGTACACCAAGTTTATCAATATTTATTTTGTATTAATTTGACTTATCTATATGCTGCAGTTGAGGATTACCTGTGGCTGCATTGTAGGCGTTCCCGATGTTTGCGATCACTTTTCTGTAGATTAAAGTTACGTCTGTGTTGTACGGTCCAATGGCTCTGTCGCCTCCCCCTGTTGCCGCACTGAATATCGCCTTGGTTCTTTCTATGCAAAACAAAACATTATGATGGTGTTACCTTGGAAAGTATGTCCAGAGTCCTCTTGAAACAAAACAAGGGGCATCACGTATTTGTTCTTAAATATTGGAATGTCCTTTAAATACATTTAATCCAAACAGTTCTTTAATTACCTTTGTTCCTCAGCTTCAGAATCTCATTTTCACTGTCCATCAGCCTGCTTTCAGTGTTCATCAGCCTGGTTTGCATGTCTCTGAATTTTTCTGTCATGGCACCAAACTTTCCCAGAAGATCACACATATCAGGACAATATGAATATGCTTCAATAGTTTCATTTATGTGATCGGAGTGCCTGTAATCCTGGGCTGAAATCAAGCCACATAACAGCAAGGAAATGCACACGTTTGCAAAAGTCATCTTCCAAGTTAGTACAAGGCTGTGCCGTCACCTTTATTCTGACTCACATGAGTCTTCTCTCGGCTTTTGTTTATGACTTGTTAATATTTACCTCTGGATCAGACCCATGTTTTACTTGTCTTTTAATAATGTCAAGGATATAATGCTCAACTTTTCCACTCAGTGGATTGGCAATGAGGAAGGGAAAGAGTTTACTGGACAACCAATTTTATTGATCATTACTGTAGGGCTCAAGGAAATTGTCCGCTTTTTACGGATCTGATAATGGCAAGTTTTATTCCTTTGAATGACATACCAATTCAAAGTTTATTCAAGATGCTTAAGGCAGTAAAATAAGAAAAAGACTAAATAAACTCTCCGTACTCTGGATATCACTGCTTCATTACTACAAGCAGGGGACTAAACAGTAATGGCCTTCCAATAGATAAGCATTACTTGTGCTGATTTATGGTATTGGGATATGATTGCATTATTTTTTTTTAATGTATCGTTAATCCATTTTAAGTGTGTAACTGATTTGACATGAGGTTTCTGAGATATCCTGGCAAGATTGGATACAGCATAAGCACAACAACTGTTTCTGTCTCCCCATGAGTTTGGTAAGTTTTCATGTTTGAATGACCAAACTAACACACTGAAAGTTGTCGACAACATTATCCCCAAACACATTTAGTCAAGCATTAACCTTTAGCATCTCTTTTGAAACCACTTTAACCTCCCTGGCTGCACATTTGGTTTCTGATTAAAAAATGTACTTCGGGGTCTGCTGACTTTTTTCAAAACACCGAGAAGGAAGTTAGACATGAAACATTATCTGGATGACAATAATTGATTTTCAGCTTTTAAACTACAAAAAGATACTGGAAAGCTCTGACCGTATACCATCCCAAAAAACAAAGTTGAACACCAGGGTTTTCTGCTTAGTTTGATGTGTGTATGAGCGTGTATTGACAGTATTTTCCTCTGTGTTTATAATCCTGTAGGGGAATACAAACTTTACATTATGTGAATAATTTGTATTTACTGAAGATTACAGTGAAGTTTTACCATTTAGTATTTGAGATATAAAAAAGTTTGGAGGCCCCCCCTTAATCTAAAGAAAGGGTTTGCCCTCCAACTGCCCCAGGACCCACATGGAAAAAAAAGATGCATAGCAGTCAAAAATCAACATAATTGTAGTTGTTTTTATTGATACAATCCCAACAGAATAGACTAACACACAACACCTTTGTGGCAAACTGCAAATCCTAATTGATAACCTGAGAGCAGACAAAGCCTCACCCCCAACCAACCCCCCAAGATCTTTATCGCACCCACTTAGGTTAGGGGATCCAGACCCCAGGCTGGAAACCAACGATCCAGGTAACAAGTACTGTATGTCGTCAGCATAGAACAAAACAAGGCATTCTAAGAAACGTTCTGCCCCTTTGCATCTGCTTCTGGAACTTGAGCACAGCAGAGAGCAGCCATGAGCAGCTGTACACACATCACAGGAGAAATACAAGATCACACGGGGAATAAAGAGAAAAACATGCAAACAACATGTTGCTCTGTCTTTCTGAGGATGATTTGTAGTTCTTTTGGTGCCTGTTTTGACGTAATGTTGATAAAGTGATGAAAAATATGATCGCGAGTGCGCTCTGTGCATTTCCTTGTCTGACTTCCTGCCCGGGGTTGTTATATTCTGTCCAGCTAAGAGGTGATACAAGAAGGCTAATGAATATCAGATTTTGTATTTGATAATCAACATCTTTCTTTTTTGTCACATTTCAAATATAATGGTATAATGGATACATTTATGTAGGGAAGAGCAGAGTATTAATTCTCACATTTGAGTGACCAAAGAACCACTAAAAGTCGTAACGTAGTCGTTTCCCCAAACATGAGTATTTACACCCAGGACCACATACACATGGTCTCCTGGCTGCAGCTGAAGGAACACTGCGTTTCCTCCATTATCAGATTGGTCGGTCCCTGTAGGGTAATCATTGATTGCAACCATCATCTGGGAGTTCTTGTAGAGCTTCAGAGATGTTGTATGGTCACCTCCACTATGACAAAAGATGGTGAAGTAATAAACACCTGCAACAGGTGCAGTGAAGATACCTGTGGGGATAAAAGAAAATTGAACCTTTCATTGTTCGGCACACAGGGCAGATTCATTAACACAAACACACACCAAATTCAGAGAGTAAAATAAAATAATACATCAAATTTAGACGTATTCATTATACTGTAACTAGCTAAATAACATAGCAGATTTTGACGTCAGGAAGTTAAAGGAGCAATATGTAACTCTGACTTATAGTGTTTAAAATGGGTACTGTGGAAAAGGCCCCAAAGTTGCATGTCAAGGTTTTGCCTTTATATTATATGTTATATATATATTATGTGATGTTATTATGCTCAATAGTAGAGGGGTGTCACCTGCTGGTGATATAGTGAATTACGTCATGTAGTAATGAGCAGTGTGGTACAGTGTCAGCCGATGACAGATGGACCATCAGTGTGCAGAGTTATCACTCCATAAGTTAGTTGTGCGTGAATGAAAAAGTGAGTACTTATCTGAAATCTTATATGTTATTGTGTGTTCTTTGATGTTGAGGCAGAGTTGCTTTAAATGATACTTTGTGTAAACTGTCACATGAATTCAGATTCAACAGCAAAAATCTATTGAACAGAGTGTTACCTGTGGCTGAATTGTAGGCGTTGCCGAGGTTTGTGATCACTGTTCTGTAGACTAAAGTTGTGTCTGTGTTGAAGGGTCCAACGGCTGCACTACCTCCTATCGCTGCACTGAAGATCACCTTGGTTCTCTCTGTTCAAAGTATTACAACAATATTAATTGATTAATGGATGGATGGATATTTCAGTATCCATTGCAAACCATGGGTTAGAATTGGGGGTTCAATTTGGAGGAATTGTTTTGTTTAAAATTCACCGGTAACACTTATATATATTAAGGTGCTTATAATAAGCATTAATAACAGCTAATAATTCACTTATAAGACCTTATTAGATTCTTATTAACACAAATAAGACTAAATAAGTGTTAATATAGGCATAATTAACACATTTATTATGTCTTTATATACCTTTTACCTTTATATACCGTCATAAACATTAATAATCTGTTTATTAACATTAATAAGACTTCATGAGTGTTAATTAAACTATTAATTATTTTATAATTGGCTTGTAAGATATTAATTAACACAAAGAAACTTGTTTATAGATCACTTATCAACGTTCAGAAGATGTTTATTGACATTGATAAGACTTTATTATGTTCATATTATTGCCTTATAAAGGTTAATAAATACTTTACTATGCACTTATTAAGAGTTAATAAAACTCCTCTGAAGGTACTGGCTCTAAAGTGGGAACACTGCTTATAAAGGTTAATAAATACTTTATTATGCACTTATTAAGAGTTAATAAAGCTCCTCTGAAGGTACTGGCTCTAAAGTGGGAACACTACTTATAACGATTATTGAATACTTTATTATGCACTTATTAACAGCTCAGTGGGAACAGGGTCCAACTTTCAAGTAAACGCAGAAACAAAAAGGAGGTCTATTGAACTTCCATTCAAACAGTTTTTGAAAAAAATAAATGCTACTACAAATACAAGTAGTATCTTTAACGTTAACTGTAAACAACATTATGAAAACACTTGGTGTGTCGTAGCTACCAACATATCTGATCAAATTCAGGGAAAAAGCATTGTTGTTTTTAACCCATGTTACTGTAAATAAAGTGTTGAAAGTGGACAAACATCAGAAGACTAGGACACCTTGAGCCCAAGGTCTGAATACCAGTCACGAGACGCACACACGAATACACTTTCAAACTTTGTATGTAAGGAACACAAATATTGCAGGTCAAGAATACAATATACAATTTACTAATGCAATTAACAACTTAATTAATAAAGTGTGCACATGAAATAAAACAAACATATGAAGTGTCCATGCCCTGTCTTTTTCGTTGGGGTTCAATCCAGGTGTGTGTTTCTGTTTAATCTGTGCTTCTGCTCTATGAAGTAGCGAAGGAAGATCTTCCTTAGAAGAAACAGTCTCCTTAATCCCACTTAAGGTCTCGAAGGTTTGGCTCACTATCCAGTTAGCTGCTCACAGTTCTATGGTGGATGCTCTTGTTGATGGATGGTCTTCTAGATGAGCCCAAAATGTGCAATTAGCATTAGCCGCGATGCTAACAAGATACATGTAAAATGTCATATGCCAATGCTAATCAGTTTGCTTTTGTGTTGTGAAAGATTTAGTATTTATTCAGGCTTTTTGTGATCTGTAAGAGCAAAAGTTTGACACCAGGGGTGGAAGGGTGAAAGTAGCTTAGCCACAGTATGTATGTAAATAAGTAAGGAATAGTTTAATGCAAGTTATGATGAAAGTTTTTCCTCTTCTGATAATTTCACTCTCTTTTGTGGAGTCTCTCACACAGAACTTCAGTGTTTCATAGTACAGTTATTACAGTGTCCTATGTTGTCTAATCAATAAAAAGCTCAAAAGTAAATTGATTGAATAAATTGAAAAGCTTTAACCTTTTTTGTAGTACAACAGAGCTAATGGAAAATTGTGAATAAAAACAGATGTTATTTTAATACTTGGTGTTAAATGCTAAGTGCTTAAATTGAGATGAAGCCTGTGTTGATGCTGACATGCATGTTTATCTTTATGAGGGCGGTGTGACCTGTCTGTAGGTCAGGTTTTTGTAAAAGGCGGATTTTGGGCTCATCCAGAAGACCATCCACCGACAAGAGCATCCACCATAGAACTGTGAGCAGCTAACTGGATAGTGAGCCCAACCTTCGAGACCTCGAGAGGGATTAAGAAGACTGTTTCTTCTAAGGAAGAACTTCCTTCGCTACTTCATAGAGCAGAAGCACAGATTAAACAGAAACACACACCTGGATTGAACCCCAACGAAAAAGACTAGGATGAGACACTTCATATGTTTGTTTTATTTCATGTGCACACTTTATTAATTAAGTTGTTAATTGCATTAGTAAATTGTATATTGTATTCTTGACCTGCAATATTTGTTCCTTACATACAAAGTTTGAAAATGTATTTGTGTGTGCATCTCTTGACTGGTATTCAGACCTTGGGCTCAAGGTGTCCTAGTCTTCTGATGTTTGTCCACCTTCAACACTTTATTTACAGTAACATGGGTTAAAAACAACAATGCTTTTCCCCTAAATTTCATAATGTTGTTTACAGTTAATGTTAAAGATAATACTTGTATTTGTAGAAGCATTTTTTTTTTCAAAAACTGTTTGAATGTTAGTTCAATAGACCTCCTTTTTGTTTCTGCGTTTACTTAAAAGTTGGACCCTGTTCCCACTGAGCTGTTAATAAGTGCATAATAAAGTATTTATTCATCTTTATAAGCAGTGCCTGCAGAGGAGCTTCATTAACTCTTAAAAAGTGCATAATAAAGTATTTAATAACGTTTATAAGGCATTAATATGAACCTAATAAAGTCTTCTCAATGTCAATAAACATCTTATGAACGTTGATAAGTGGTCTATAAACAAGTTTCTGTGTTAATTAATATCTTACAAGCCAATTATAAATTAAGTTATAGTTTAATTAACACTCATGAAGTCTTAATAATGTTAATAA